GCAAAGTACATCTTGACAGTATCGGTGTAGATAAAAATGGTGGTTTTCTGTTAGGCATGGAATGCTGCGATCAATCACACATTTCCTTAAATTGTCAACTTGCTCATATGCAAATTGTGGCCAGTAAGCCGGTTTAACCCCTTAGCACTGGGAAGCAGTAAGAGCCGCCGTAAAAATTGAGATCCCTCAGCCCGCTTTTCAGCTATTATTCTCGGCCCACGCTCGAGCGAACACGTTGAAAGAAGGCATACCCTGGCTTTTGTATATATGGTGATTGGCCTTTGTGTTTTGCCAAGAAATGAAAAGGCCGAATTTGCATCATAATCACCAGCTCCACAATAGTCCCCACTTTGAAAAGAGGCTACGGGAATGTGGAAGCTTGAGTAGAGCCGCATGCCACCGAACAATCAGCCTTTTCACCATGTAAATTAAAGCTTGTAGAGCACGCAGGGCCACAAACAGAGAATTTGCGGTTTGACAGGTGGCCTTTGTGGCCAAGCGAAGCTGGAATTCTTGGAGTCGGCTTTCAGAAAAAAGTCCCGGCGTCAAGGGGTTAAAAGAAAGCCTTTCCATGACAACCTCTTGGTGGTGCTCTGTATTGTGAATCACCTGTATTGTGAAGGACTTGACTACAACACTGCTTCTCGATACAGACTTGAACAGGAAATGGTTTTGGAAACAAAAAATGGAAGATGAAAACCGTGAAAAGTACATGTATATGTATGTACATGTGTATATTTTACTACAATTACTACAATTCTTATTTTCCAATCAGAGCTCAAGTGACGGACAGCAACCAGTGGCCTTTGACCTGAGTGGCTTGAGCCTCGGCGCAGCCAGTGGGAATGCACTGGTGGAGGGGGAACCTGGTACCACCATGGAGAAGACGATGATGGTGTCCTCCGGGCCAGGGCAGATGAGTGTAGGCCAGGCAGTCTCCATGCAGGGAGGAGGGTCTGCTGTGGGCGAGATGGAGGATGGATCCAAGGTATGATAGCATCTGGAGTGCTGTGGCCGTACGAACCCTAATCCTCCAAGGGTACTTGGCTAGAATTCCTGCCCGACACATCAGACTGCATCCTTTGTCAAATTTGCTTGCCTGTCAAGTGTAAAAAGATCCAACAGGTCAACTCCCCCCCCCCCAGGCCAAACAGCCGGGGAGTCTGTGGTCGCCAGTCGCCACAAGATCCAACAGTGGCATTGTTCAATGGGACTAGCTCCTATTGTCTGAACATGGTCAGTTTATTCGGCCACCATTGATTGCCCAGTGCATCAAAATGCGTCAGACTTTTCACCTGATGCACACTGCTGCATCTGGCAGGGTTATGGTTAAGAGCACGGGATTCCTAGTCAACGGGTAAAGCTGAGGATTACAGTGTCAGTACACGCAAAGGTTTTCATTGGCATGGACTAATCTCTTCTCTGCAAAATGGCGTCACCGTCTGCCAAAATTATAATAGTCACAGCACAGCGGTGCATCAAGTAGTGTCCAATCCTGTCCATTCATCAGGTTTTCTCATCCTCTCCAGTTTCGTGAATTTAGTTCCCCTGAGTCGAGAAACTTAAGCTCAATGCACTCCCATGTCTGCTACAAAAGCAATCGGCTGTCAAGAACAGGACTGAGGTCTGGAGTATTTGGGATTCGGTTTCAGCCGTAAACACTTGAAATGGATTATTCCTAACCCCCGTGGCCCTTTTTTGCTAGGGACCCTCCTCAGTCTTCCAAAATCTTCCAATATTTTCTAAGGAGATGTGAAGATTTATTCAACAGTGTTAAAAGATTCACATGGAAAGGCATTGTGGGTAATTCCAGAAATTAGGGGTCCATTTTTTTGTGTGTCCCTGTCACAGCTGACATGTGATTTTGTACGTTCAGAGCACAGTTTTTAATTTCAGAGAGTGATGAATTAATGCAAATTACCTGCCAAACAAATAGCAACAGTTTGAAATCAATTCCGGTGATATTTCCATGTCAAATACAAAGCTCAGATGTAACAGGGACACAAAAATGTCCCATTTTTGGACCCCTGTTTTCTGGAATTACCCTTGTACATTTGTTCGAGCAAAATTTGCCTGTCCAAAATTGTTTCAGCAAACATTGCCTGTCCTCACATGAGACACAGCGTTCCCCCTTCAATCTCAGGAAGTTGGTATATTTTCAGGGGAAGAGGATCCAGTCTACCTATGTCACAGTCAGTCATGGTCAGTTGGTAATTTTGCTGTGACCCCCTTCCCCCGTGAAAGTCTGGTAACACACACGTCAAACTCAGTACCCAAGGCTGTAGTATTGTGGCCACTGGGCTGCGGAGTGGCCACAATACAGTGGCCTTGAAGTGCCACTTTTGGACTCAAAATGTTGCATTTGATCATGTTACTCACGTTAACGTGAGTGTATTTCGAAATGCATGAACTGCAGATGTACAAGCCGTGGGTAAATAAGATATGTAGTGATACATGTACTCTCAATCACAGTGAAGTTGTACTCGTCATCCTCACATCGTTATTTCAAGATAGAATAAAGATGACCATATTTTGGTCACATGATGTGATCAATGAGTAGCGTGTATTACTCACATGAGTAGTGTACACTCAGATGAGTTTTGAAGCTTTCCATGGTGAAGATACTCGTAGCAAGTTAGCCAAAGAGGTTTGCGGTAGCACCATGCAAGTATATCTCTTTCCCGACAACGGACAAAGCATACCATACGAAACGTTGAGTGCCCTCCGGTTCTTTTCAGAACCACACATACTCAAAAAGAGATATCCTTGCAGGGTGATACCACTAACCTCTTTATTAGTATGCAACTGCACACATGAGTATCAAGAATAAAAAGCTGTGTTTGACAAAACACAAGATGCTGTATACAATTCTCACGATCAGAGAAGATTTATACTAAAAACTGCTTAGTTTATTCAACTGTGCCTTAGTTCTGCATAAAATACGCTGGCATGAAATGTTCCATGGATTGAAATTTTTCTCCTGTGGTAGATATCCGTCCAGTGGCAAGGCACAGCATCTGCTAAACAAGAGCACAGCGTTTTCTCCACGGAGTTCCCATCAGATGGATCCCCCAGTCAACTGGAAGGACTGACGGGCCAGTCTAGTCAACTCGCCATTTCTTCGCCAGAGGGCGACTCTGCCTCAGAAGGAAACTAAGGTGACCCTTTTTTTTTTCAAGACACGGATGGGCCTTAACCATGAAGGTCAACTCGCCATTTCTTCGCCAGAGGGCGACGCTGCCTCAGAAGGAAACTAAGATGACCTTTTTTTTAAGACACGGATGGGCCTTAACCATGAAGGTTTTTAGAGAGGGATTTTTAAAGGCTTTTATCAATGTTAAGCACCTCGCTAAAGCAAACTGACGTTTGTGCTTGAAGCAGAAGGTACGCTCATGAAACTTAACCACTTTGCTGATACTTTGCTGAAAATGAACAGTTGTACTTAAGTCCAAAAAGTCGGATCAAAAGTCACATCACAAAAATAATGAGGTGAACATTGATGTCTATGTCAGTGTTCACTTGAATAGCCTGTGACTTGGGATAAGATGACCCGTGACAGACTTGTGACCACAACAGCATAATCTCTGACTTTTAAGCCTTTTGAGTCCTGAAGAATGCAACGGCCGGATCTGAGGGTCCTTTGTTCCCCAGTCTAACAAACCTACAGGAATTGCTCACTGTTGGATGCCAATGGATAATCTTAAATCTTTCAGAGAACTGGCCTAATTATTGTAGTATTTGATGGATGTAGGGCTTTACTGTGGCTATTTTACAGAGGGTTGAGCACAGGTGGCAGAAAGGGGGAGGGGCCAGTGGCCCCCCACTTTTTGAACAGGTGGAGGACACACACACACACACTTTTTGCAGGTCCTATAATGGGGTGGGGCTTAATGCATCAATCTTTTAATGGCAGGTGCCTGAAGGTCTCACAACGGCCCCTCCCCTCCCACTTTGAAAATCATTCTGCTGCCGTTGTTCAGCATCACCCTGGTTTCAGTCTCAAAGAATCTGTCGTTGACTAACCTCCAACATCATCTGATTTTGCACAAAGTCAAGAGGGACAAAGTGCCTCGGAAGTTCAGGTTAATGCAGAAACTTTATTCACGCCTATCATAAATAGTTTTCACTGCAGAAAAAATCAGCATTTTGTGGTGACTATGTTTCTTGCTGTTACTGCAGTGCTAAATATTCATGTTCAGCTTATGCAAGTCTCTTTTGTAATGCAGCTTGTGCCTTCATTTTGGTGTTTACATTTAAATATCGATAATAATTGAAAAATTTTCCTGTTCTGCATTGCAAGTCGTACCCTGCCTTTTGGGGGGGAGGAAAGTTTTGTGAAAGCTTCTAGAGGTATTTTTGTATTCAATTTACATGTATCTATGGAAATGAGTGTGAAATTTCAAACAATGGAGAACTTTTTTAAGAGATTGGAGTGACATTGTACATACGGTTTGTGTGGGAATGTCAATTTTAGCAAGTTAACTTCTTAATGTAATAATTTTTTCATATCAATATCTGCAAAATGAATTTATAAAACTTGCATCCAGTAAAAAAGGCCCTATATGGTAGCAATTGTATCTTCTATATTTTTATAACCTATCAATTACCGGTAGGTAACTATATCCTTGCACACAGAAAGTGCTGTTTCAGAAAATGGTTTTAATTCCATTTTAAGGTGCGTCACAACTTTGTAACAAAATGGATGAAACGCATTTGTCTTTTGTACCTGTGTACTACACAGGTACAACGGAAAAATAGTGTGTCTGTAAACATTTTTGACAACTGTGTCGTAATATCTTGGGAAAGACGTCAGAGATGTTAATTTTGAAATGCAATATGGGCAATTCCCAACACAGTGCGCCACCAAGAGGTTTGTTGTGGAGAGGCCATTTTTTGCTGTGCATCGTGGGAAAATGGTCAACCAATTATATCACTGGCTGCGCACAGGGAACGGGAAGTATTCCCAATGATTGTTTTTCCCTGGAAGATTTGTAAATGTATTTGAAGTTACAATATTCATTACTCCTTGCTTCTTTCTATTGCATGGAATATCTCGCTCTATCAAAATAGTTTCCCCAAGTTGTCTACTGACATTAAATTAAATGGAAATTGTGGCAAGGCAGCCATGCTTTTTCAACCGTAAACTTGACAGATGGCCTCGTCCATGGGCAGCCTCTTGGTGGCGCACTGTATTGTCAATCGCTTTTCCAGCAGCCATGATCGATCTGATCAAGGGCAGTTCATGGTCAGTGCAAAAGCAAATTTGTGAAAATTGTGTCCATTTTTATTTGCTCTGAACATTTGCAGCAATTTGGGCCAAAGATCGTATAGCGCCGAAGGCGCAAGATGGATAACTCTGCCCAAAAGGTGTAATTATCATGGGCGCCATTTGAGCAAGCGATACGCCTGCGTGGCTTACGGTAATGCTTATGCGCAGGCGCACATGCCTGCCGCAGTGCCTGCGCCTGTGCATTAATGTGCATGGCGCGGGCGTATCGCTTGCTCAAATGGTGCCTATGCGATTACAACATTTTACGTGTATTCACGGTGAAGTTCTCCATCTTGCGCCACTATGCGGCACTATACGATCTTTTGATTTGGACCCACTAGCGAATTTCAGTTCTGTAGACCTAAAGCATACAATAACGTCACACTTTGATTACATGTGCGCTTTCCTGTGGGGGCGCTGTGGTTCATATTCCACCTACACGTAATTGGGTCATTCTATTAATTTAGAGTCCACCGTATTTTCCATCAGTGTTACATTTGACATGTGATGTATCACTGAAATTGATTTTCAGACTATTTCTATTTGTTTGGCAGGTAATTTGCAGTACTCATTCAATCTTGGAAATTAAAGAACGAGTTCTAAACATTAAAAAATCATACACAAAATGTAACCGGGACGGGGAAAAAATTGCACCCCAAATTTATAGAATGACCCAACTGCCGTAGGAGAGCGCACATGTAAACTCACTCACACTTACCTTGCATGCCTAGTGTGGACATACCTTTCTTTTCGTGCAGTTAAGAAAACTCAGTGAAAATACTCGTTTTTCTTGAACTGGGAACAAGGTTTCCTTGACTATTCTTCTTCCGACAGATGACCCGAACCCCGAAATGCCTCTAAACTTCTTTGTTAGAGAAGAGGAAATGTCCTGTGGACATGTGTAAGTCCACAAAACGTCTTCTTTTCCTGCATTGTGTGGACATCTTTTGTTCACAAGTCCACACTAGGTATGTAAGGTTAGCGCAGCGTGACATCATTGTATTTCTTGTCTATTGTATTGACACCAAATTTGCTTTGCTTTTACAAATGAGTGAAGCTTGAAGCAGTTGAAATTGAAACAATCTTTAAAGGATGGTGAGTTTCTTGAGGACATTTTGATGGGTATAACTCACTTGAAGCAAACTGTACTCGAGGATGGTGAGTTTCTTGAGGACATTTTGATGGGTATAACTCACTTGAAGCAAACTGTACTCGAGGATGGTGAGTTTCTTGAGGACATTTCGATGGGTATAATTCACTTTTTTTTTTAAACACTACTCACAAGAGCAAGATACATGTAGGTCACACACCAGCTATTGGTGATGCACTTATAGTACTGTTCCAAAATACTTCAGTACCACTGCACATTGTATTCCAAAAAAATTTTTATACCAATCATATCAAAAGCAGCTTTTGCCAGAACTGTATTTTTTATGTGAATAATTGTATTCAGAGATTATACACCAAGCATTAAGTGTCGTGTTTTCAATCAGTTGTACATGTTGATGACTTTAAGTAGCTCTCATCTGCCTTGGGAGAAAAAGCATATTATGTAGAGGCACTGTCGTATTTTGGTTTCCTCAAAAATATTTTCATAAAATTACGTTTGGAAGATTTGTCATTTAAGGAATGATTCAGATGTTTTGATACTGCAAAACGGCATAAGGTAAAACAGAACTCACTGAAATTTCATGGTTAATGACTTGTGGAAGGAGTCAGTTTTCAAAGAAGCTCATTCTCTCAGACTGTCAAATTTCAACAGCCATAATCTTCCCTGATCCTACAAAATCCACCAGGAGGTTTTAAAGAATTTTGTAGGATTACATGTACATGTATTCTGCATGGGCTTGATGCCCGTAGAAAGCTAACCGTGCGTACCTGCTCCATATGCCCCAGGTTTCCTGCATAAGGGAGATCATGGCGAATTTACTGAGATTCAGAGGCAAAAAGCTAGTAAGAAAGAATAAATGTTTTCTGTGTGAAAACTCAAACTAAACTCAAGAAGGCCATGCAGGAAAGTACTTGAAAACTTTTTAGTATAGATATTTTTGTATGATTGAATCGAAAATGATTGGTGTCCCAGCTTACATTCCAGCTAGTTTTGTAAAATCAAATTTAAATTTTGTGGAATTTTTAATATCTTTAACCTGTTTCTTTGGTCAAGTTTTTTGTTTGGTTAACCATTTCCGAGCTCTTTTTCAGGCACATGTATGCAGATGTTCGTCAAACTTGGTTCATTTTAAAGTAGGCAAAGTATTCTAATGTGATTTGCGAGACATTTGAGCTTTGTGCTTAATATTTGGAATGCCATGGGCAGATCCAGGAAAGGGGAATCTAGTTAAGACCTTGTGCATCTCCTGAAATTTCTCATTCTCACTTGACACCCTGTTCACCTGCTTTAGAGAGCCAGTAGAAGCCAGGTTTACCTGTGCTTCGAAATGACAGCTTGTTTCACCATTAAACATGTTAAAGATACCGGGGGCAGTTTCTGCAACATCTCTGTAGTGCAGGTTTTTCACGTGTCGAGTTTGTTCAGTAATATCTTTAGGTCATTTTGATGACAAATTGGACGTAACCATTCTCGCACAGCACCCACTTTGTCAGACAGGTCAGCCCAAAATAGATACATGATGCACAGACCGACTCGCATGACCTTGATCTTCATTTGACCATTAGTCCGAGTTGAAACTGTCATAAATGAGTGTCTTTGCATGCAAGAGCCCAGTGGGGGGGGGACTGAATCCACCCACCCCCGGCTGTGAAATGGTCTGGGGGAAAAAATGGCTCTTTTAGAATTGCGCTCTGTCATTCCACAATACCCAAATAATTATGGATCTGCCCCTGGTCTAATAAGCTTTTGCACGTTAAATTTGAAAGAAAATCTGGTACATCGAGTTACCGGTATTTGATGGCACATAAACATAATTTGAATTCCCCAGACTAGAGACACTGTTGCTGTACGTCGTGATTCGGGGCAAGCTTTTGCATAGCGACCACCACCTCCAGAATGGACTGGTTCCTTTGTGCCCTTCTTATCCATTGAAAACAGTGTATTGGTGCAAGGTGTCTCTTAAGTAACTAAGCACAAGTGCCTTTAGTCTGGAGAAATCAAATTGTTATGTTCACATGCGTTTAAAGAACCCAGTGTACCAGATTGTTTTTTTTCAGATGGAACTCTCAAAAGGCTTATTCAGTAGCTGTTTTCCCTTTCAGTTACTTCAATGTAAACCTCAGTACTTTTGTATTCCATTCTGCCGCTTCAGATTGCCTGTATGTACTCTTGTAATCTTCGATTTGGCTTTTAACATGTGTAACTAATAGCATACTTATATTTGACTATAATAAATGTATTTTTTCCAAAATTAAGCTGAAGAAAACCAAAATCTAGCAGCCAATGAAATAAATCTGCCAAAAGTCATAATTGCAAATTTTGAGAGTGAGCGGTGTTTATTTCCTTTGTGATGGAATACTGATCAATAGTATTACACTTGCTCATTACTGTATTAACCCTAACAGTCCTCAATCCTTCACCTGTTGGAGGACTGAGGACTGTTTGGGTTAATCCGAGCTTTCCTTTATGAAAACCATTTTCTACATGAAAGTAATACTTTTTTCGTAATTTGGGTCTGACCTGTAATAGGTTTTGTTACTGTGTACTCAATATACAAATACATTATACAGAACTACATGTAAATACAAGCAGATGTACACCAGATCAAACACATTTAACTAAGGAATCACAAGATGGCCGAGTCTGGTGCCGGCCCCTTACCGGTTTTGATTTTTTTTTTATAAACATAGCACAAACACTTGCCCAATGACAGGCGTATTTCACAATGCACATTTCACAGTTGCTGTGCTTAGCAACAAAATTACCTGGGTGTGGATAGACATTTCCATTGGTACAAAGCCAAGTTAAGCCCATTTTTCCTCCGAGGTTAGTGTGCCTTTTACAGTGTGGGCAGCTTTACCTTCAGATTTTTTTTTCCCCCGTACTGAGATACATTATGCGACAATCCACGATTTGGAATACAACTTCGGGAGGTTTGAAAGCTACTCCTTTTTCCTCAAACTTCTGTTTTGCGCATGTTCAAGAGATTCATCTCATGCTGAACGTTTTTGTGCTAATTTAACTGAAAATTAATCATGTACAATAACCAATGTACACATGTCATGGCTAGAAGTTGCCTCGTGTTGTGCACAGTGACTTGTTCAAATAGGAACCTGCCTGATCTGACAGATTGTAGTTAGGGTGCATTTCCTAGTGTGTCCTGTCAATCCGATGCTCATTTATCATCTGCTACCTTGCTTTCTGCTGTTCTCTCTTCCAGACGATCACCAGGCCCTGCAAACCAAACATAGACGCACATTTCACGCAGGCTCCGTGACTCCAATTCTGTCAAAAGTGCTACAGTCCTGAAAACAGTGCCCCCCCTTCCAATCAATAGAGTCACGGAGTGGTATAAAAGCTACTTTTGATTTTGTTGATTTTTTGGAGATACTGTAACCATCAGCGTTGTAGTGGAGACCACTTAAGACCTTCACGAAACCACCAGCACAAGATCTCCAGTCTGAATTCAAGTCACAAGCCATTCAAATGGACTCCAACAAATGCGCTCCTTTGTCACTGTTACTTGTGGCTGGTCTTGTGAGGGTCTCGACTACACCACTTGTAACCATCTTACAACTATTCATGGTACAGGACAGATTTCAAGCCGTCAGTTGCCGTTCTGGCCAAATGAGTCATTTGTTGACCCAGGCCACTTATGTTGAATTTCATTTCTTAGACACATACAAAATGTCAACTTCATTTCTCTGAAAATCCAAACCGTGAAACAACCTTTAAATCAACAGTAGTGGAAGTTGAAACATGAAAAGATTTTATGTTTGGAGATTTCGTTCTGAGACGTTTCTTCAAATAAAGATTCAAGGAATGACTCACTTAGCTTGATTGTATCACATACAAATTTTGGCTTTAATCTTTAGGAATTTATGGGGAAAAAAATGTATTCAACACTACATAATAGCTCATCTCTTTAAAATGGTGCCTTCAGTTGAAACATTAGTTTCTAAAATTTGCCAGCAGAAGCCTTATTAGGTTTCAGTACATTAAGTACCTCAGCATCACAGGATGCGAGTAGGGACTCGTCATAGTTGAAGCTGACAGCGAGGACCGGCGCCGAATGACCCTGGAGCTTGTTCAGACATGGCTTGTTGCTGGCCCGCTCGACGTCAAAGAAGTACACGTTCATGTCTTCACTGCCGGTGACTACATCACAGCCAAATATAACCAAATCAGGCTTGCAACTAGGACTTTGACCAAACACGAGGAAATTCCAATCTTTACAAGACTTTGTACCCCGGTATGATATTTTCCTATTTTCCCATGGCACGAGCGTGAAGCCAAAAATGAGGGAAATCAGCTGACACAGGGGAAAGTTGCAAGAATGCAAAATGATATCATCAGAACCACACACACTTGAGATTAATGAAGTTTACATAATGCTGTTACCCCTGATCGACTGGCTTATGGTCAATTTCAAAAAGGAACAAATATGATTATAAAAAACAAGATCAACAAAACTATCCAAGTTGCCTTTAAGTCAAAGTGGATGAAGAATAGATTATCCAGGCTGAGCAGGAACACAAGAGGGCGTGTTTTTAAATGAAATTGACAGTCCCTTGGGTACGAACTCATTGCATAGGCGCGCAAGTACATGCTTAATGGCGCTGGGCATGCTGTGTACGCGGAACAAATTTATGCTGAAATGTATGGTCTTTGCATGCACGCTAAATGCAAGCAAGAACCTGGTTGGAAAACTTCATACCAGTCAGTCTTTCTTTTGCCCGCAAGGGTGCACTTCAACTCGGGACGGATTAGGCAAGCAACTTTTCCTTGAATTTCCTAGTTTTCTTTACTCATGTAAGAACATTCCTTACTTCTCATATACAGCCAAAAACACCAAAAATACGACTTGTTAGAGCCATTTGAACAATATTTTGCAACTTTTTTTGTACCCCAATCTCATATTCTGTAACACTTCAGAGCACCAACAGGTGCGGTATTTGCTACCAAGGGAGGCCATGGGCACCGGCCAGACTTCTTGAACATTGTGTATTCACACAAAACAGATGGCAAGATTAGCGTGGAGGTTTAACCCAATCAACTGTCCCTGTGTGCAGTCTGCCGGATTGTCTTAGTAAGTCCCCTTGAGTAAACTTTTTCAAACCATCGTCATGTTGCTGCTGTGCAAGTGGCCAAGGATTTTTCCATTCCATTCAAGCCGTGTTGGATCAGATTTCCATAACCAAAACCCCTCTTAACAAGTCTACCAACATGTTTCTCTACTCACCGACGCAAGCCCCTTCTCTGAATGACATGAGCGGACAGAAGGTACTTCTGATCAGGGCTGTCCTGTGCTTGATTGGGTACATCCTCTTGGCTCGTAGTCCGCCATCAGGACTAACAACCCTGCAATGCCACAGATTATTTGAAGCCTGGTCATCTTTTCAGACCATGAAATTCCTCCAAACACTTTAACCCTAACAGCCCTGAATCCTCCAATTTTAAAATAATTTGTGCACACCCTAGGGAGTTAGGGTTAATTATCCCGTAACCGAACAAAATTCTTTGTCGAATAAAAGAAAGGGTAAAGAGAGCGCAAAGGATGCTCTTAATAAAGAAAGCCCTTAACTCCATTCTAATCATTCAAATTAATCAACTTCCCACTGTACTGCATCTGACATTTCAAACTAGCTGCACACCATTCTCTGTCCAACAATTCTGCTAGTGATACTAAATACTGAAAGAATCCAAACCCCAAAATGGAAAATGGCTGTAAACTGGTAAGAGTAATACTAATAGTATTTATTGAGCACTTTTAACCCCTTGATGACGGGAATTTCTTTCCGAAAGCCGACTCCAAGAACTCCAGCTTAGCTTGGCCACCAAGGCCACCTGCCAAACCGCAATTCTCGGTTTGTGGCCCAGCGTGCTCTGCATGCTTTGAATTACACGGTAAAAAGGCTGATTGTTCGGTGGCATGCGGCTCTACTCACGCTTCCACATTCCCGTTGCCTCTTTTCAAAGTGGGGACTATTGTAAAGCTGGTGATTATGATTCAAATTCGGTCTTTTCATTTCTAGGCTACACACAAAGACCAAATACCATATACATAAGAGCCACGGTCTGCCTTCTTTCACCGTGTTCACTCGAGCGTGGGCCGAGAATGATAGCTGAAAAGTGGGCTGAGGATCTCAATTTTTACGGCGGCTCTATCCACGTGCCGGCGCAACGGGGTTAACAAAGGTCATGATTCATGACGGAAACACTGCCTGGACTATCTCAGTTGTGTGTTAAGCGTACAGCTGGACACTGCCGTTTCTGCATGAAGGGTAACTGCTGTGTCCATCCCATCTGTGCCCTTAAGGGTACCCATTTTACTCCCGGCTCTCCAAAGCAGACCGTGACAAAATGTCTGGCGCCAAGACCAAGAACATTGCAATCCCAAAGCAACGGCGAGTGAAATGGGCGCGGGGGGTGGGGGGCTGGAGGTGGTGGACGGGCTGAAGTGCGCCTCTCCCGATTTTCAACAAAGGAGCATACCTACCCTCCACTCTTGGCTGGTCCTATCATGGGGGCGGGGCTCAATGGATCAGTCTTTTTATGGCTGACGCCTGATTGTCTCTTACCTGCACCCCCCCACTTTGAAAATCATTCCAAAGTCATTGCCCCGAAGGCTGTACCCGGACCCAAACCCATAATAAGCAGAAGCATTTAAACAGTTCCGATTCCGATGCACCTGACCACAAGGACTCTAGCCCACAACGTAAATAAGCCTTTTGCGAGTTAAAGTTGAATAAAATCTGGTACACCAAGTTATCTGATTGCACATAAACATTACAATTTGAATTCCCCAGACTAAAGACTCTGTTGCTATACCGCGTGATTTGGGGCAAGCTTTTGCATAGCGGCCGCCATTTCTGGAATGGACTGGTTCCTTTGTGCCCTTCTCATCCAATGAGAGCAGTGTATTGGTGTAAGGCGTCTCTTATGTAACTAAGCAAAAGCTCGCCCCGAATCACGAGGTATAGAGTACCAAAGTGAATGCGTCATGTGCACAATATGTGTGTAAAAGGCATTAGCGCGAGAACCAGTGCGTGAACTAACACGTGCGCGTACTCCATTCGTTTGCGCTGCACTTTCTGGTTCACAGTGACGTCACACTTCAGTACTCTATAGCAACGTTGTCTTTAGTATGGAGAATTCAAATTGTTATGTGCACATGAATTTCAAAAACTCAGTGTATTAGATTGTATTGAAATTTAACTCGCAAAAGGCTAATTAATTAACTTTGATTCTTATTAGGGAATGACGCGGACCACTCACTTGTAGATGCAGAGGGAATCGATTGCACAGTTGACCAGCACCGTTGGATCTCTTGCTTCCCTGCTCACCCAGGCACGGTAGCAGATACTAGCTAATGGGAAAACCCTCGCGCACAACGATGCTGGAGAAACAATAACACAGGAACTTTGTGACTGTCGTCTCCGTGCACATGTACCGTATCCTTCCAGAGATACTGAACATGCTCAGATGAAAGTGAACTACGCAGGATTCATACATACTTTAAACTAACAATGAAAAGTCAGAATTGGAACATCCATTTTCCAAGCCCACAGCAAAACAAACAGCCACGTGAAAGAAGCTATGTACAGGTACACCAATATATGCATGTGTAACATATAGCACTATCTTTTTGTAAATAGCGCCCTCTCTTTTTTCTGCAATAGCATCCTCTTTTGGAGGAGCTTTTTTCTTCTTATAATTATGTTATCTTTTATGGAAATTAGAACGTTCCAATTTTTTTTCCGGTCTGAAACTCAAAAAATAGGGACAGTTCCGTTTAAATCGGAATGGTTGGTGGTATTTCCATGCCGGATGTACATCAACCGGTGCAAAAGAGTACCCTGAGCTTCACCCTGAGCTACACCTGTGGACGTAGAGCTACTGTCAAACTGAGGTGAGGCCGTTTACACGTCGACAGATTTTTGCAAATGTGGTGAACCTTCTTAAATCTATAACCTTGTTCCTTGCTCTTTACAATCAGTTCTCTGTTCACATTTTCAGGAAAGATTTCCAGTGACCTGTTAACTATCTCAGTGCAACAAAATGTCCTAAAATATCAATTTAGCAGAGCAAATACTGAGATATTCATTTGGAAAACACTTCTTTTTCAGACCAGAAGGGTTTGTGCACAGGGCATAGAATTCTCTCCCGTTTTTATTCTGTCTTACCGTTTTCCCTTGGAGAGTCTGCCCGTAGCGAGATCAAAGAGGAATGAAAATATGGTTCCCTGCAGGTAAAAAATAGAGAGGGGGAAGTGAAAGATAACACTCGACAGTTTGTACTGACGTTAAGGCAAAATCCAGAATCTTTGTCATATATCTCTCGAATAAATTTGAACAGGGAACCAGCCCACAATGATAGCAGTCTGGGAACCAAACTAACAGGGATCAGTCTAAGTGTATTCCACATTTAATGTTAATTTAAATTTTTTTCTTTGCCTGCGAACACATTGAGAACGTTCATGTGGCCTCTGTTGTTACCTGTCTGATAAACACTGTGACAACTTATGTTAAAGAGATGTTTGTAACAGTTTCAGGGAACTAGGCCAAGATGGCTGCAGTCTGAGGAGATTCTGGAGTTATATCCATTACCTTGTCATCGCCAGCCCACAGGACGCTTCCATGGTCATCAAACTCCATGCACAGCACCTGTCCAGACAGCTTGCCTAGACCTCCTTTCGTTTCTTTGCCTGTGGACACGTTGAGAACGTTCACATGGCCTCTGTTGTTACCCGTCTGATAACATTACTAAGGAAGGCAACATTGAATAAGCCTAACAAATTACCATGACATGAGATAGGCACATAACTACAATCACTGCTATCATTATTTTGTGCCCATCACGGACTAGATTATGTAACTATATCTCCAATGAAAAAATGCAATACTTAAGAAACTGTAAATGACTACTGTACGCATGCACTGATTTGTGTATGAATGGTGCAAATATGCAGTACCAAGGTTGTGCACATAATGGATTAGATATATAACTCTTGTAAACCTCCAGTGACAACAAAATGCAAAGTACTACTGATGGATACCTGAGTTACCGTATAAGGACACTCTGTGCCTGCGCTGGTTTGTGAATGTATAATGCAAATATGTGGTACCAATTTTCATTTAAATGAGCACAAAATGGTAGCAACTTCACAGACGAATATATACGCAAACATAGGCACAATGCAGCAATGTGGTCGAGGTACTAGCGAGTGGCTCCTGCAGGAGGACTTTTTATTTCCGGGTACAGCTGCATCTTTCAGGTACAGTCTCTTCCGTTTTTTTTTCACTTGAGGGAATCCTTTGTACATTTTTCTCCACATGTCCACTTTTGCTAAGATCTTTCTTCAATCTCCAGTAACAGACAACAGCTGTTTCAAGACGTGCTTTTGCGTCGGGGAGATGTTAATTTCAATCATAGGTTTTGCCCTAAGACCGATATATATTCATAAACACTGTATACTCAGTGCTTGTCCGAGAGTTAATGAAAAAATTCACAAGCTTACTCGGGTGGGACTAAAACCCACAACCCCCTGATTACAGGTGCAGACATCTTAACCACTCGATCACCGAATTTGCCGGGGTCGGCTGGCCGGTCCCAGTCACATGTAGCAGCTAGTACCGTGAACTATGTCAAGATGTTCCCAGTTTCTAAGAGCCATGCAATATAAAGGATACCACGATCATGTTATTGTTGAGCGGTTGGAACCTGCAGGTGCGGACGGCTGACCTGTCGGGGTCCTCTACTGTCCGCACGCAGCTAGCACTGCTGACTGCCCACAGACGCACCGTGCCGTCCAGGGAAGCCGACAAGATCTGATCGTTGGACTGGGACCAACAGAAATCTGGGCAACAAATTTAGCAATTAGTGACCAGTTAATCCACACAATAAAGGTATTTCTGGTAAGAAACTTTAAACCCTAACCCATGCTTTATCTAAGTAACAGTGGCTGGGTTCTACCTTTCTCAATCCTGGTATCTCCCTAAAACCTCATCACATTTTTGAAAAAAATTGGAAGGTCAAAATTAAAAGAAATTTTTGAAACAGCCGTGCCAAACACCATGATTTTCAACAGCAATTTTCTTGCTGGAACAGCAGGGAACCAGTCAGAAACACTATACATTACATGATATTCTGGCCTGTTACCTGTTTTTGTTAAGGAAAACTAGCCCTTACTGAAGCAATGTGCAGTCTGTATTGTAATGTTAATTAACCGAAATGTGTACATTTAATGAAGGTAGTAGCTCATGAACCCTGACCTGTGACCCCGCTCTGGTGACCTTTCAGCACACAGACCACAGTGGCTGGACTGGGCAGGACTTGGCAGATGGACACGGTGCCGTCCATGGAGCTGCAAGCCATGCGCGACTTGTCCTCATTGGCAAACTGTACAGACGTCACTAAACGACAAAGAGGAACCAGAATTTCTCTTCAAATACGTCACCAAATGCAATTACTTTTTAACCGTCCCTTTTCTAAGACAGAAAGTAAAACTGAAACTAAAACATAAAAGTAAAACACAATTCTGTCTATACCTGCATTGACATAAATTCAACAGGTCTTGTTCTTCTTTTGACATGCAAATTTTGAACAAAGGCATAGGCCTTGTGATCACATAGGGTTAGGGTCAAACACAATTTGATTGGTTGCTGTAGCGTGTTCGTCTCCATACCAGCTTTGCTGTGCTGATCAAATATATGGTGCATGCCGGCAAAGGCGTAGTTCTCACTGATGGACTTGCCTCCAGCCATGGCTCTGTGAAGGAAAAATGAAACAAAAATAATGAATTCTAGATGCAATACCTAACCATCCTTTCGCTAGTCTTTTTTCAAGGTTCGCCAGGAACCAACTGTAAGCCAACTTGAATTGGCTGCTCCATAGAGCCACTTCTTTAAAAAAAAAAAAGGAGTTACGAATTTGACAAGCTTGTTATTAAGACCAAGTGATTCTGAGACGGAGTCTACAAATCCTTTTGAGCAAGGTACCTGCTGGCTTCGGCATTTCTCGTGGGCATGACGCCATAATTCTCCAGGTGGAACGGGTCCAGCTTGAATGACCCCCGGCTCTGGGTGCGCCGGTGACCTCTGACATCCAGATGACCTCGTGCATCAATGTAGCTATCATCCAAGCTCTGTAAGTACAATAAAGGAAAATGTACTCATCCGAATTAGAGCTCTGTTTTTTTTTGGCACAATTTCCTTGGAAAAGCTACCATGATGAAGAACTAATTCATTCGTCAGTGTACATATGATTAAAACTGCATCAAGTATAAAATGTGAATGAAAAGTGAATATAAATATTATCTTACTGGTAAGAATGAAAATGAATGGCTTAAGACAACAGACTGATGTGCCCGCTAAGTCACATTATCCATAGTGGGTATCAAACATCAACAAAACCCATAGGAAACTGTGTTTTAAGAGTTCCTCACCAAAATGACGCAGATTTTTGATACAGCACTCTGCACATCAGTTGTATGTGTGATGTACTGACTGTCGGCTTTACTTTTCGATAAATGATACTTAGGACGCATGCTGCTATGGCAGGATGCCATGTTTGTTGATGTTTGATACCCACTATGAGCCTCAAGCTGGACCAAGAGAGGACGGTATTTCCTTAGCAACAGAGGTTCTTTTGGTACCAACTGTGCATCGCTGGTTAACAAACGACTAGGATATGCAAACATTGCAGACACATCACTACCAACAAAATGAATGCTCCTGACCAACGCGGCCCTTTTCAACAGATGTGGGGGTGCTTCTGCTCGAGGCAGATAGGTCATGTGACTTAATGGATGCAATCAGTGTATTGGAGAGCTTGACTTACATCTAGATTGGCCTTGCTCCCACGACCACTGTTGTTGCGACTCCAAACGCTGCTGTGTTGATGAGAGGATCAACAGAGAGAAAGAAAAAAAAACAAAAACAGAACGAAAAACAAAAAGGAACGACAGCGAGGACAGAGAAACCCAAAAAGAGAGAGAGAAATGATAAACAAAGGATACACAGACAATATGGGGACAACAGCGGGGAGGAGACAACCCCAAAAATGCAGTGAAACAGGAAAAAGGAGAAGGAAAAACGTAACAATATTTCTCATTGAGCAAGTTCTGAAACTCAACACTACTGAACCAATGTCAAAATGAGATCCAAGCTCATTTAAAGAGCACCTCTAAGGAAAACACATTTTTTCTGATTTTGTCTGTTCAAATAAATATGGAAGCATCCAAATGGAATGCAGTGTCATTTGTCATATTCATTTGAACAGATAAAATCGGAGAAATTATGTTTTCCTCAGAGGTGCTCCGTAAGTACAATCTTCAAAATAGGGGTAAAATTCAAGTGAATTCAAGTGAAGTGAGCCACAGTCTGTGATTTTCATATGAAGTATTTGCTTGCCGTGTTTGCTTGGTAACAAAGTGCCTGCGATACTAAGTTTTGTGTGGTCTCTCTGATCTTTCTGTCTTTTACATCCTGTGTATAGGGAGTGGAATTTTGGAAGGTATTTTTAGAATTGGACAGTTTTAAGAATCACTTTGAAGGTATCAATTATGCTATCCAACCCAATTTGACAGTTTTCTGCACGACTAGAAAATTTATGGAATCAATGAGATTGGCTTTACAGCACAAAAGTTAGCTTTGGAAACCCAATCTATCCAGTGTGTCTATCAATACCAGCTCTACGGTATTCGGCGTCTTCAAATCAATCCTCAAAGTGCCGCAAGAAACCAATGTTTACTCCTTCCTTATGTGAAGGGTAAATGAAGTAGAGAACAGAGAAAATAAGAGGTAATGGAAACTGGGGTTGATACATTCTCATCCTACAAATCTTCCAGAATATCCAGATAGATTTTTTTAAGGATACAGGTAGTTGGAACTAAAGAGATAACAAGCATGGAACCTACTATAGTGCATGTGAACTAAATTTGGATGGACTTAGATTCCATTGCAAACACACGTCATAGCATGTGGCTCACTGTGTCACAGGTCATTTTTGGAGAGTTTCTAACAGTAAAAAAACTGAGCCGTGAATTTTCTTCGTCAAAAATAAAAAGGAAAAGAAAAGAGAAAAATGCGACTACTGAAACTGAAAACTGACTCAAAACGTCAAGTTGGGATCAATTGTTCTTTGAAGAATAATTCAGGACAGACATTTCAACAAAACAAAATCGTGCTGTAAATATTTAATCCTGGGACGCCAAAACATGTCCCTCTGAAACTGCAATACTAGATGAAATAAGATTAAATGTGTCAATGGGTCAGGGAGAAGCGAAAGTGCCCTTGAATGGGACATATCAGTCATGGCCTGAGTCCCCTCTAGGCTTCTAGGGTCACAAATCAACGTTCACTTTATATAAATTTTCACAGTGATGAGTTCAGATGAATGGTCTGGTTACGCTGAGCGAAGAGCCTACATTTGTCCACTGTGGAGCAATTACGCAAGATTCCAAAGAGAAGTTGAGAAGATGATATGAAATTAATCACTCGACGTTCAGTGCCATCTGCTAACCTACAGCTGTGAATCACATGACTATCGGGATAGATTCTTGACGAGTTTTCTAGATACCCTACTTGTATCCATTTATCTTCATTATCAAATATAATTTATGTCTCTTGTGTGGCCACACAAAGAGCCCTACAGATGTCGGTTGAATTTTTACCAACTAAAAAACAAATTAAGAAATATTTAATGTAATTACTTCAAAGGATTTCTAAAACTAACTTTTAAATGAAGTTGAATGACGTATTCCTGAAGCCAAATATTCAACAACTAGGATCAAAATTACATATGAAAATTCAGACACTGGCCCAAATTCTGAAGCCGCTCAATGGCAAGTATACAAGATTATTCAAATAACTATAAAAATAACTAATTCTAATAGTGTAAGGAAAGCTATAAAATGTTCCAGAATAAAAAAGGAAACAAATCCATCAGATTATGGGGATAATAACAAAATGTAGAAAGCGAACTTAAGAAAATAAACTGCTTTGAAGACAAAACACCACACTAAAAACATTCAAAAAGTGTGCAATTTAGGTGTGTTTTTGTTTGTTATATATATTATACATATTTATATATAGTAATAAACAATTTTGTTTGAGGGTTTAAACATTTATCATGATCATTTTATTTAGCAGCTAATGAAAAAAGGGCCACACCAACTTTTAGGAAATTTTGAGAAATATACAAGTCTAGGAAATTAGAAAACACTCTCAAAGTCGTCACATTGTTAAAAAATACAACATACGGTGCTTTCCAGCCAATTCGTGGCATCTTCTCTGTGAAGATAAACCTTTTCTAAAAAACCAACATCCTAATCCAAGTATATGCCATTTGACATCTGCAGAAATAAAATCTCTCTCCATGAGCTACTGAAGTTTAGGTTGTTGCATTGGCCTGCAAACCACAAAAGAGAGAACCTCCTCAAGAAAGTTCACCCTGGAGTGCCCTCTACTTTGGGTGGTCTCTGTAACCTAAACTCCCAGTGAATGGTACACTCAATTGAAGGTCGTTACACCACAAATTACCAGCCAAGTGCCAATGATGAGAGTCAGGAAGGAATATCACAACACGACCCGGTATCGTGTGTCAATGTGCCACACAGAAGCTTCATTGATGCAAAGCAGGACAGAAAAAATGTTCTTATTCGGGCACGTGCTGACAGGAACTTTCTGTTTGAATATTTAGGATAAAATATCTCTGTCAGAGGGGTTCAATCTATCGATCCACAGTAGGCATTACTGAACCCATAAACTCACGAAAAACTGGTCTTTTATATAAATGCCTGAGGAACTTTTGGATGGCTTTAGGTGCAACAGACAGACAGGAAGCGGAAGGCATACTGGAACATTATGTGCGAGTACATGAAATTCATTCAACTGCCCCGAAGTCTTGCGCGCCTTCAAAACCTTACTTGTTTCTTGAGATGGTCGGTCATGTTTTAATGGAATTTGTAATGGTATCCCTGAGGTTGTAATGCTTCTTTGTTTCCAATTTAACTTTCATTTTCAGTCTTTGTAAGTGGATTATCCATCAAGTGTGACTCAGACAACTTGTTTTGAATAAATGCGGACACATACTTCCCTATGCATGACCAAATCAGCGCCGACACTTAGATATTTCCATGCTGCTTTCCATTACTTTGGGTTCATTTTTATACCGAAAATCATCAGTCTGCAAAGACCAACCTCTGTAGAGGCTGACATCACAGGGACAGTGCCCTCTATTGTCAGGAAATAGGACAGACATTACAAGCAACAAAAATTGCTAAAATGGTTTTAGTGCTCTAAGTCTGGCAGTCCAGCATCCTCCAATTTAATAACTTTCACATATCTTGGAAACTTGGGGTTTAAACTGTTAAACTGTACAAGGTATTATTTTTCAATGATGAAGAATGTCTATTTGCCCATACTACATTAATGTTTTAGAGTCAAATTCATTTCATTGGTTTTGTTGGATGTAGCATAAGGTTTCCAATGTAACTTTAGCACTGGATTAGGGTTATTTTAAGAAGTAAATCTTTGTTAATGGCGAGTTTTGAGGAATGTACATCTATATTTGCCCAAGGTATTTAGCATTTAGTGTTAAATCCATTTCATTGGTTTTATTGGAAGCACCATAAGGTTTCCAATGTAACTTTGGGACTGGATTAGGGTTATTTTTGTTACCTTTGATCTGACAATGTTGCTCCATATCTCTCTATAAGGAACTGGGAACGTAGTTTGAGGTACTGCTTGCGCACCTGAGGATCGTTCTGGGGATGAAAGTGAAAAACCACAGGCAAAGATGAGACAATTCATAGCCTGTCCACCTGAAAAAGACAGCAACATCAATCTGCGTCTGCAATACAAAAACTGTTGGTTGCTGACCAAGTTAACGTTAAATAAACCCTTCCAACAGTGCAGCACATATAACAATATTATAAGTAACTTTCAGACGGCAAAGTAAAAAAAATAATGCTCAGCCTCCTTTTAGTCAGCTATCTTTATTTTTTTTTCTTATTTTATTATCTCAGGAAAAATAAAACAGCGGTAAATATGCAAAAAAAAAAACAACAAACCCATCTGAACAGTTTTGTCAGTTGGAACTTTTAACTTTTGGGTCTGTTGGTTGTCTTCCACATCATGCTGTCAAAGCAATTTCTAAATACATGTAGGTGTTCAGATGGCTGCAAAATGTCATGGCCAGAGCCCGGGGGCCCTGCAAATTGTGCAAGTGCTTATGAAAGTGGCTGTGTTCATGTATGTAATTTTTGTGAAACTCGTCTCCAAACTCAATGAAAGAATGATTAAAACCAGTGTAGATACGTCCGATTCTCTTGCCCAACATGTGTCTTTCGTTATCTGTGTTAAATCAATGGAAACATCAACAGGTGGTGGAAATTAACAAGAGAAAAAAAAAAGGAAAAAAATGGCAGCCATCTTGAAAAAAAAAAAGGTTCCACCTTCTCTTCCCAAACCCAAATGCTAAACAAGTTTCCTTTTTTCCTTGGCCTGTATTCCTACCGCTGCTTTCGCTGTGTCCCTGAGAAGCTGACTCCTCCGACGAATGTAAAGAGTCCCTGTACGATAATGAAAAGTGAAAATCGCAGTGAGACGGTGGAATGCAAAGGTGACTTCCAATGCTGTTCTCAAGAGGTTGAATATCTTGAGGGCAGAAAGCAGCTCCGATTCGATTAAAGGTAGGAAATGTAAAGAGGTCAACAAGAATCCCTTTGACATTTCTTACTTCCATTACTCATTCTTTGGTGTTTGTTGTTTCCTTGTAGGTCATGAGCCTCTTGAATGTCGAGCCACTCCAGCATTTCCAAAAGCCATGGTCTTTCTTGAACAAAGCATGGGCGAGTCAGAGACTGGCTGCACCGATAAAACGGACTACATGTATATTGCATGCAAAGCTGTTCTTTGGGGGAGAGGGAAGAGGGAGGAGGGGAGGGGCCAGGGGGGAGAGGCAGGGGGAGGGGCAGCATGAAAACAGCATGTTGCTTCCCTTTTCATAATTTCGAAGAAAAATGTTTTTTTTTTTTTTTTACCCTCTTTCAGATCATCACTATGGATATGCATGCAGTATATGCCTCTTCCCACCTGGCCGTTCACCACCCACATCCAACAACATTCCACAGCCACTGTCTTCACATCTGACCTTCACCAACAATGTTACCCCCCCCAAGGTTATTATGTGTAACACTTCAGCTAGCAAAGCCCCTACTGAGACTTGACAAGGCAACCCTCTGCTTGTTTTACAGCTTTCAACACTTGGGCCCAGCTATTTTGAAAAGAAGAGTTTTCACCCTTCCACTGAAAGAGCTTGGAAATGCCGCTTATTAGCAATCCAGCCAGGGAATGTTTATCGAGGTTGTTGATTTAGTAACTTAGCAGGTTGGAAGGTTCATCTCGAAAGTGCTAAGAGTGTTCTGCCCATAATGTGGGCTCCTCAAGGCTCTGACGCTGTGCTGCTATCTGAGCAATGGATGTTCAGCATGTTACAGCTGTTGTATATTATTTTGCATTTCCTTTAATTACATGTGTACATGGAGGCAGAAAACAGCAACACTCAGGGGAGAGACAGGGGAAACAAGCGAAATTCATCAAACGATCCGGACAGGGGGGTCATGACACAAAACACAGTACAGGGGGCCAGTCACATTGGCAATGCTTCCCTTACAGGTGTAAATTGCTACACCTGTTCCAGCAACCAGAAGATGTTTTAAATTCTGCTTGTGACTAGGCATGCGGGCTGTAGAGTGAAAGAGGCAGCAGAACAGATGCTGTTCTTACAAAGTTGTTATATTCCCTGTTGTGGTCACACATCAACCGAACAAATGCACCTGTCTGTTTTGACATTAAAGAGCACCTCTAAAGGAAGCATGTTTTCTCTGATTTTATCTGTCCAAATGAATATGGAAGCATCCAAATCAAACGCAGTGTCATCTGTCTTCAGAACTCAACTATAACAAGCTAAACAGGGTTTTTTGGGGGTTGCCCTTGTTTTCTCCGAATGACGCAATCTACGTTCAGAATTCACATCTTGGCATGAACCCCAAAAAGCTTTATCCGTTTGGGGGGACAGGCAAAAGCTTAAACAGACCTAATTTAGTTTTTGAGTGAGCAGAAAAAAATTCTTAGAGCTAGCCAGTCTAGCCTAAAAGTACCTTACCCAAAGCTTAATTTGTCTAAAACATCGAACAAATACATGTATATTCAGCTGTTTAATACTTAATATCATGATTTTATCTGACTTAGACGCCAATACACCAAAAAATACATGAGAAGTTTCTAAATGATTATTTTCAAGTGGCTCAGCAAGTCCTGATGAAAAAAAAAATTCTAGAATAAATCCACTCCAGCTCTGCCAAAAAAGAAATCTCCAGAGGAGTGATTGACAGCTCTATTGTTCCATGAGATACGATGTATACTTTTAAGTATTGGGGTCTGGGTCACACATCTTGGAAGATGGGGGTACATGTATTTCCAGAAAGACTTGCTGGGCAGATGTACTGATCGTAAATCGTCAGCCAATTATTAAGTTGATTCTTTGCAAGCAAAGCAGCCATTTGTAGGATTGTGCAGTCCCAGAGTTATGCCACTGTTGCCAAGAAACAGTATTACCATGGAAAAACCTGGGCCCCCTGGGGCACGCTGCCTGGATGCTGCCTGGCCACTAGCCAGGCTTTTTTTAGCAGTTTGTTGTACAACCCTGGATAAATTAAATAATGTTCCTTGTGTCCTTTTCTTGGCATCAATTTATGGCAAATAGCGTACCATGTGGACATTTCCAGGCTTCCGAATTTATAAACAACTTTTTCCCACAAAACATTTCCTCTTTTTTGAAGAAGAAAATATTATGCTGAACAGGCCGAATGAATTCCTCATAATTACAGTGATAAATTGCATCTATCTCCCAACCGTTCACTTTTATTTATTTATTTTTCGGAAAGTCTTAGGTGGTCAATAATAGGACATTGGCATACACTTGGACAACCACGAATATGTATTGTTGTTGAGCTCCATACCTGCAATAAAAAACTCACTTCTTTGGCGGAAACTGAGCTGACATGCAGGGGCCTTTATTGTTTGTTATGGCCAAACATTTAAATGGTTAAACGGCAAATTGAAATGTTGCTTAATGTTTAGCAAATCAAACATTAATTTCGACCCTTAGAACCATCAAAAAGATGGACCCGGTAAGGCCTACAGAGTAATGCCTTACTGTTCAAGAAGTAGTTTAGACCAACAAGGTGCAAATAAACATGGTAAATAAAACACAGAAATGGCAAACGATTTCACAACCCATCATTGTCACAAAAATACATGTGAATGCCAAGTTATAGGCTAAGTAGCAATAACCTATCAAAGATGCTGAACTCAACAGACGACTTGGGAAGGCAAACACCATCATGACGAGGCTGACCAAGAGGGTGTGGGAGAACAAAGCTCTGACGGAACACACAAAGATCCAAGTCTACCAGGCTTGTGTCCTCAGCACCTTACTCTATGGTAGTGAGTCCTGGTCAACCTATATGAGACAGGAGCACCGGCTTAACACCTTCCACATGCAATGTCTCAAGCGCATCCTTGGAATCAGCTGGCAGGACCACATCCCTCATAGTGACATTCTACAGCATGCCAAAATTTGAAGTATGTACTCTCTGCTGAGCCTACGCCGCCTACGCTGGCTGGGACACATCCGGCGTATGCCGGAGGAGAGGCTGCCCAAAGACATCCTACATAGCGAGCTGGCATCCGGCATCAGATGTGTCGGCCGCCCCTTACTCCGATTGAAAGACACCTTTAAGCTTGATCTGATGGCCTACAATATTTCCCAAGATAATTTGGAGAAACAAGCTCCAAACTGAGATGCCTGGCGCATGACAGTCCACAAAGGCATCAGAGAGGCAGACGCGAGCAGAAGCCAGCACGTAGCAGAGAAGAGGGCAAGGAGAAAGCATGCTGCAGTAGCCCCTAACACCATGGCCCCATCGCACATCTGCATCAATTGCAACAAATACTGCCACTCTCGCATTGGTCTGCAGAGTCATAGCAGACGGTGCCACAACTCAACACTCCAAGGACGCTCTTAGCATGGTCTCTCGAGACTGAGCTGCTAATATATAGTAAGTTACTAAACTATACAAAAATGAACAATTACCAAATGACTAGCCCAATATGAAGGCTAAGCATATCATGAAGTGATATTTTCGAGGTCGAGATGACATCACTGATTCTTATTCTTCTTTCTAATTGTCAATTGATGGCTATTCCTTCTTTCACACTTAAAACTCATGGGGGCAAAAATAGTGTAGCAGCAGTCTATCTGTCTATGGGGAAAATCTGAATTACTGACTCAAACTCTCAACCTTTACATCAAGTGTGGCTGAAATTTCACTGTTTATGCACTATAAACATTTCCCACATTGTAATGAAAAGGTTTTACTGGAACTTTTAGTTATTTTTATCATATTGCTGCCAAAAACAAGGAAAATACGCTAATTCCCGTAAAAAGTGAAGAGTCGCCCCTTTGTCCAGACGAGAATGCACATCATCCTCCGACCTGGAGAAACGGGACACAGGGCCGGGGCATTTTATCCAAGGAGGGGCGTGGCATGATAAGTGGGACGGTGCTAACCCACACACTTTATCGTGCAGTCCTAATACCGGTACACGCTCACCTTTCCCCTCCAAAAATTGCAAATCTGCAAGGCGTTTATTGTCAGATCGTGAAACAATTAAATACATCATGACTCAAAATTGTAATACTTACTATATTGGGGGTTATTTGGAGCGCGATAGGTGTTATATCTGGCATCTAAAGCCAAAACTTGCTGCCAAACCGCAGCCATCTCCAGCTGATTGTTGACAAATTAAAGTACGCGTTTTAAATAGCCCGATTGTACTTTTCGGTGAAATCTCATAGCTAAAGGTATGTAAACAATACGGAAATAGCCTTGATGGGCGAATAAAGTCTTCCAGAGGACTACCTCTTATTCAGGGTAAAGATTAACAGTGTACAACGGCTTTAAGCACAGATTGAGATAGAGGACGCATGAGGGAGCGCAATTGACTAGTCTGGTCTCCATTTCAATTTCCGTTGATATCCGGAAGGTTTGTCGGTGGATGCCAGATTGCTGCTGATGACACATTCATCAACAGCGCCAGTGCGTGGGAGACTCATCGTTCCTCTGATAATCTTCCAAAGTTCCGTGCTAGCTGCGCCGCGCAGAGATCCCGATTTCACCCGTGCTACGCAGTTCACAGACCGCACGCTCCGCAGGTCGACCATTTCTTGTTGAAATCCACATTTCCAAGGATTCCATGGTCGTAGGCATTATGGAAGATGAGGATACTGGCTCGGTCGACATGACCAACTCTTGTATGGATTCAGAGCAGCAAATTTATCCGTCCGGTAAGCCAATTTTGCCATTTCCGCTGGCTGTACAGCGTTGACTCAAGGTTTTGTTTGCGCTATCAAGTTAAATCTTTTGGCCTACCCACGCTTCGCTGTGTTTACAGCTAGTGATGCTGTGCACATTTTCATATGATGAACTGTTGATCATGAATGAGTCAAGTTGATTCTTTAAAGCTCGAAACTGCCTAGGCTAAGGTTCATTGCTAAACCCATAGGCCTACAGGCACAATTGCAGAATACCCCGTCACTCACCTTACCCACCTCGTAGCCGCGGATACGGAGTCAGGCTTCCATCCACAACGCCGGCCCACTTTGTATCTGCATAGGCACTCCCCAGGACCCACATTGGACTTAGAAAATTCTTCCACCATCCCCATTCACTTTGCATTGCAGGATGCACAACTTAAGGCCCACTTCGTATTCCCTGTATCCATGTAGCCGCTCCCCGGGGCCCCGCATTGGACTTACAAAAATTTTAGTCTTCCCCGAGAGAGTTGTATGTAATTCAAGTGAGTGCTTCGTTCTCAAGAATGACTTCAATACTGTACACAACACGTACATGTTCCTTGAGGCTTGACGCAGCAAGGATAACCTCGCACCACAAATAGGGCTGTAGTGGCTCACTTTTACAATCTGCCTCTTATCTGGAGACAGATTGTAAAAGCGAGCCACTACAGCCCTATTTGTGGGGCTAGGATAACCCGGAAGTCGAACAACCTCCACTCGACTACGTAGCCATGGATTTTTAGGGGGGTGTTTGCGTGTGCGGGGGATTTTGCAATTACACCCCTTTACCTTGGTCTCTCTCGGTGGTGATACTGATTTACGTGTTTTCCTTCCTCATGTTGTGTCCATGCAGGCACTCCTCATATTTAATTTAATCCTAACCCCACATAATACTACAAATTACTACTTGTTGTAAAATGTAGTACTGAGCGCTGTCACTTGTAAGAGGACATGACTTTATTGTTCTGTGAAGCCATAAGATACAATAGATAAGACAATGTACCATACAGTGCTGTGGCACTGTGAATGCATGGCTTTATTGTTCTCCGTACAAGTAACAATGGAAGTGACCTAGCCAAAAGTAGTAATTTGTAGCGCTAGGTCCTTCAGGCTCAGACTATTACTTAGTATTTTGTAGTACTGTTTAGTGTAAGCCAAACAATATGCTTAGCGGTTGGGGTTAATAACTTAATGCTCCATGGTTTGTGTTCAGTAATTGCTAACTGATAAATACAAAACATGACCTGGAATAAGTTCCATACCACTTGACATTTTGTGCACAAACATAGCAAACCTGGTCTGACAAATTCTGTTTTCTAAATGAAATGTTTTAATATTTTCCGTTCTAGATTTGACTCTTTCAGTCACACTCACAGTATTCCTTTCTAATGGCTGGTGTACCACTGTAGGGACAAATCAGTGATGTCCTTTCAAGCTTGATGGAAATACGTACATGTGAAACGTGTTTGTCCTTTCTTGTGACTCTTGTCTTGCTTGCGTATGGAGCAACACTTCATTTAACGCAGTTAACTTGAACTTGCCGAATCGTTTGTCAAAGGTGACGGGCGCCAAAAATGTGGACCCCTAAATTTACAAACCGAATGGCCCAGCTCTGAATTGACCCCCTGTCACCACTGATGATTGGCTGCTGCCGAGTGCTGACTCCCCCTCCTTCCCCCTTCCCGGGAGTTCCGAGGAACTTTGTTCCCGTGCCTAGTGGTGCGCATGGGTTCAGTAGATATTTTCGGAATATCTGTCAGTGAAAAGTGACCGTCGTGTTCTTTTCCAAATTCCAGGGGTGTGATGTCTTGATAAATTTGTATTTGTACATTGAGATATTTGCAGCTTGAAGTTTTAATGTCAATGAATGATTACTAATCATTCATTTTGTTGTCAATACAAAAGAATGTTTACTTGGCTACGGGTTTCTGAGTCATCCATTCCCTGCTTACAACATTTACAGTAGTTGCACAGTTGCTTTAATGAGCGGTCTGTCTTAACCTCATGGGTTCAAACCCTACTTAAGGAATCAGTTCAGTTTTTTTTTTCTTTTATTAAGTATCAATTTACAAAGATAAAATCTTGCATTGAAATTTACTGGAATCCGTCCCAATGGTTTATCAAATATCTTGTTGCGGTAGTTATCAGAGCAATATTCTCTAGATCTCCATCATCTGGCACAGTGCAAAGAGCAGAGGCCAAAAAAAAAAAATTAGTACCGGTAACACAAACCAGCACAGCAGTTTTATTTCCTCAATTAGTCAACCATTTGCTATTAACAAACAAGATAGCTGTTTACAAACTGTACTTAAGGTTTTATGGTACTGGTTGCAATTTGTCAACTTTGTCTTTGCCCAATTATTTCTAAGAACTCTGAAGAGCTACTATGTAAACAATGTATTGGAGATTACTGGTGAATAAATGTCACAGTAACTTGTGTTTTCTCAAAATTTCTGTTTCAGTTTAGCCCTAAACAGTGGAAGTACATGTACATGTACATGTATGTGCAGTGTGTGCCTGGGTCTGTATCCATGGCCTGCTTGTGTACTGTATTTGAGAAACAGCAGACGATATCGTTTACAAACAAGCTCCCCGGTATTGCTTGCAAGCAAACTTGTCCATGCATTCTGTGAAACTTGTGACCTTATAACCCGTTGTGTAAGTAATTTGAAGACTGGAAGTGTTTCATGTGTCTGAGGGGAATTGTCATTTTGGCCACTCGGAGTTTGACAGATGGGTGAAGTTATTAGGCTAGACAGACTTTTCTTAGAGCAGACCAATATGGGCATAAGGTAAGATCCCAAGGGCTTTTTCAACAGGGATAGGTTTCCTAACTGTAGCCAGTTCGTGTTTCTACTTCGGTCATTGGTTGGGCATTTTTGTGATTGTCTTCGTGATGTTGTCCTGACCAAACTAGAACCGAAGTTTGGATTGGGCTATCGCTGATTCCAAATGTCGCAAGGCAGGAAGAAAAAATGATATGTGTCAGCTAGAAGTTGGTAAAAAAAAGACTTTTCCTCACATTTTCAATGCATTTAATCATAGGATCGGGGAGGTTGATCTCGATAATAAAGTAACATGTCAAGCAGGCACAATTCCAGAAATATTCTATTGTTGTATCACTAGGAAAAAAAATCAAACTTTGATAAACCCCTGCATTGTCAAGACAGTTGTGTACGAAGAGGTACATGTACATGTATATACATGTATGCATATAACCAACATCTCTCCATGCATAAAGTACCAGTTCACACCAGTATGTCTCCTCTTAGTGCATTCATGTACCGTAGAATAGAAAGCAGTACAGCAAAAGGGTATGACATCATCACACCTCGGGGCTTTGTGACTGAGTGGAAGTCAGTCGACCGCTCTGCCATGCAAGACCGTAATCATATACAGTACGTAACTCGGGGAAATTTCTTCGCAAAGTGAAGAGACGCACGGTGTGAACACAGCTCAAATGATAAAACTGCGAAAAATTGTTTAGTTCTTTAGTTCAGAGCACTGCTAGAGGCACAATGGACATGTACATGGAATTTCATGCTGTCGACTGATTGCTCGTAAACACTGTTGCAGTGCACATGTATACATACATTTACATAGAGTCGACATTCGGTACAACAAAGGCGCAGACAGTGACTTTGTTATGTATGTAGCCATGGCTTTGTTATAACATAGGCGCAGACAATGACTTTGTTATGTATGTACCCATGGCTTTGTTGTCACAAAGGTGGAGGGACCGGACAAATTACTTTCTTTCGTACTCATGGTTTTGTTATAAGAGGACGAGAAAAACGTAAGAATTGAAGAAATTGAAATTCTTGAAATCTGTATATGTACACTGTAACAGTGGTTTGTTATAACAGTAATCTTTTTAACGAGAGTCAATTTTACTCTGTTATAACTAAAAATGCATCTTACTTCGCTAAAGAACAACTCGAAGAGTGCACCTTTTTGGCAATACATTGTGGGTGGATGCTGCATAATTATAACTTAAAATAAGTGGAAGTTTAAGTTTTCGTGTGTTTTCAACTGAGGCGTTCACTGTTTGTGTTAAGCTTCCCCATGGAACATTAACTTCAAATTTCCCCACCTTCACTCAGGGACATGTGTGGTGACACTTTCTGTAGTACATTGACTTTACTCTGAGCCAAACATGGTTGGATGCATCCTTAGAGGGTACTACTGACAGAACTGCAGCTGAACTTTTTTTTTGAGGGAGAGAGCTTAAACCTTCTGTCCACAACGCTGTTTCTTGGTGGCGCAGCGTGATCCCCCGGCATGCCTCCAACCAAAACAGAGGCCCTGTTTGTTCACTGGTTACTCTTGCTTGTGCTGAGGGCCTGTCAGTCATTGCCGGCAGGTACCACCCACTGACCAGGATGTTTGGCTCATCAGAGCCGGTCGGTCGAACTTGACTGCGTTTTGCAGCGTTGAACTTCCGAAAGTGAAATTCAGTGCACCCAAAGTACTTATAACCCAATGTTGACTCAAGGAGGTGGCGTTCTGTGAAATTTGTTATTTCCTTTTCATTAGTAACGCCATGCTGAGATTTCACTTCTCTGTGTCGTTGGATTCTATGAAACATCTTGATGGTGGACACAATCGTTTTGTAAACTTGATTTTTCTTGGTAAATTTATAGTAAATTGGCCATTATTGCCTTCCTGAGCAACTTCCAAAAATGTGCCATATGCATCCAAGTCCTGTGGATTTTTTCCAGGAAATTTGATAACCTGCAAAATAGCGGCTGGTGTCTTATTTCTTTCCGGAGAAGTTGGCCAGTGGACCTGTGATACTGTAATTTTATTGGTCTAGAATGGTCACATGCCATGATGTCATATTGTAAAAGTGAAGTATTGCTCATGATGTCGAAGATGAAGTTTTCTCGGTATTCACAATAATACAGAATAGTCAAAATTTGCAATTACTTGAACTTTCTCAATATGTCAGTGGTTGAGAATGAAACAAATACTGATTACATGTACATCATGAATCCCAGTGGTCAGTTCAAAGGTGGAGGTAATGTTTTAGATGGCATGTTTGATTTTTATAAAGTGACCAAGTTTTCACCAAAATGATGTCTGCGAAAATGACTAGATCTTGGTGTGCATGTAATGAAACAGTCATCTTTCTCCCTGTGTTGACATACTGGGTAAGCGCACATTTGTAACCAGTAACCATTCCTCAGAATCCACAAGGAGGTTGTGAAGGATTTGACTGTACACATTCAAGGAGATACATGTCGCCGCCAAGCACTGTTACTTTACAAAGGGGATTGAAGTAAGTTTAGTTACGAAGAATGTGCCAAATCTTGTTAGGACTGAGTCAATTTGAATAATTCACTATTTGAATATTTAATTTGATCAAATATCCGAATATTCGGTCGTAGTGAGTGTCAGATTGTTGATAAACAAACCATACACAAAATTAGTTGCAAGAGCATACACAATTGTACATTATAATCACTGTAATAGCTTCTTACGTCCAGGAGTATCTCCAGCCAACATTTAGCAAAATTTAAGACAAGCAATACTTCTTGCCCTGTTGAAAATTTCTGTTCCTTTTTTAATTTTTTAATGAGTAATTTACTTTTTAATCGTTGTAAGATTTCTGTCGCTTTTCATTTGAATCTGCTTGAAACAAGCCTCCATTGTGCAACTTTTCTCATTTAAATTAAAACAAAAGAAAATTCTCCCTTTTCATGAATGTTACATCTGCATAATTAAATTTGGAAAATAATATTGGAATATTCGATAATCGATCAAATATTCGGCACAGCCCTATTTGTTTTCTGCATGATTGTAGACTAGAGGAGCCGAGAATGTACCTTAGAAACAGGGGAGGGTTGGGCAAGGGAGATGTACTGGTCCGTCTATATGTACAATTTTCCTTGATTTATGTATTTGTTAAGTAGTATTTGCAGACACATCTCATTGAGGAAATTATAATGATGCTTTTTTTAGATCGGGTAATCATTCAGGGTCAGGTTTAAACAGATATGAAAAAAAGTTATTGCGGAGTTGCAGACTTTTCCCACTTTGGAAATGCCAATAAAAAAAATCAGTAAATTGGATCTAAATTCCACAAGTTCCGGCCAGACACACCTCGGGGAGCATTGGCTAGGGGGACTCAAAACCTCCAGTGTTGTGGGGAGGGTAGGGGAGGGTAACAGAACAGTCCCTGGGGCGTGTGCCCAGGCGTGGGGTCAGCTCCACTGATTAGTAGGGTCAGATCCCTAGGGAGGGGAGGGACTTGCAGGCAGAGCGCACACACTGCAGGGCCTGTGTACATCAGCACAGGATTGGGGGTCCCGGATTAGGAAGGAGTGTTGCAGGTGGGACCCACTCGGGTGTTTGTGGTTAGCCAAGGATCCCATCACAAATGCCCTCTGTTGTGCACACAGGACACAAGTGCTTACTTGTAAAATGACTAAGGTTGACAGATTTGCTGGTGAGTTTGTTTGTATGGGAATACCTGAAAGGATGTCTCCTTGCTTCTGCAAGTTGACTTCCAAGTAGCATCAAAATTTGGCTGAAGTCACAGTTTTGTGGAATTAAGTTTACACAGCTGACTATGCCAAATAAAAAGAGGACTTTATGCAGTCATATTGAAGTACATACATGTACATGTACTCCGTACACTGTTACCCTTTCTTCAGTGCAAAAATGCAAATAAAATTTTCATGGTAAACATTTGAAATTATGTGCATTTTATCATATCATGTTTATTCCTTGTTAACATTTTTCCAGTTCTTACAACGAACCTTTGCTATATTGTCTAGAAAGAAATAACTTTCTTGTTGATAGCATTATCCTGTATGTTATTAAAGTGTCTGGAATCTCGGTGGTATGCAAGGTTGCCACACAATTGAAAAGTTTGAAAAAGAACTGTGTTTTTGACAAGATGAGCTTAGGTTGCTTTATGATTTCAACCCTTTGCTTTGCTTTTCTGTTAAATTCAAAGAAAGTAGATAGAAAGTGAATTGATCAAATGCTTAAAAAAAAACCCAAACAACAGCATATATTGTTGCTCCCTGGGAAATCGCCATGGTAACTGTCTTCATTATTCCTCTTTCAATTCCTCTTCTTGGCCCAGCCTTCAGTGACAAGAATGAGACCCTGGTTCATGTCTGGTAACTTGAGCCTGGCATTGGCAAACCTGGCCTGACAAATCTCGCCCGGGAGGCATTCACAAATGACAGGGCCCTGTTTTGAAAGTATTAAAATTATGCGGGTTGGGTTACTGAACCATAATGCCCCACGGGTGCCAATCTAAATTTCGGGCGCTCTCACCTGTCAGCGCATTGACGTGTGCATGGGAGTACTGTTCAGAAGCACAGGGGCAAGATGCAAGCAGTATCTATCAGTCTATAATGGATATACCTCTTAACATACAGATTTCCTCTCGGATTTAGTCTTTTAGCCACACCTGTGTCTGAGCGATTGTCACCTCTAGAGTGTCGTGGATAAATACATGTACAAATCTTTTCCCTCCGAACCACAAGTGTCTTGTGTGTTCTTTGCACCGTGGAAGTGCGGGCATTGTGTTTGCGGCTTAAAGTTCGGCAGTCACATGGTCGCATATTTTGAAAACATAACAGAAACGACGGTTAGCAGTACTTTTGGCGCAATGGAAAGAACTCAGCCGTGCAAATTGAAAAGTAAGGTAGGAAGCGGTTTTGGTTCAACTCATCGAGCTGTTTGTTCGGAATGGGCAGAGGGAAGATGGTATCTTTTTGGATTGCTGAATGGATTGTGTCAGAGTGAACATGCACAACATACCATGCACCTTGTGTTGAAATTTACAGTGCATGCACATACATGTACATTGTACATGCACATGTAGGCCTGTTGTGTACATGTACACATGCACATGTAGGCCTGTTGTGTACATGTACACATGCACATATAGGCCTGTTGTGTACATGTACACATGCACATGTAGGCCTGTTGTGTACATGTACACATGCACATGTAGGCCTGTTGTGTACATGTGTATGTACATGTACCGGTAGGTAACTATGCAAACTGTGTTCTTTTTGTTGTTTTTCATAAAGTGTACCGGTGCTTTGGAATGTCTTTTTCTAACTGTTTCGATGTGTACAGCAATGAATATTGCTACATGTACATGTGCATGTGTCCATTGTACTGTTGCACCAAAAATGTGTCTTAGGTACATGTACATGTACATGTGGGTGATTCGATGAATTAGGGGTCCAACTTGGGGACATTTTGGTGTCCTGTTAGACGTGAAGCCAGTCAACTTTTCTTCATGTAAAATTGTAACATTATCAAACATTGTGCAGATTGAACTGTATATTGTACAGGTCATAAACAATGTAATCCTGTTTGATCTACAGAATGTGAACAGTACTAATATTAGTTCCATCCAGAAAAGCTGAATGGTTTCACCCGTAAGAGAACACCAAAATGTCCCCAAGTTGGACCTCTTATTTACATAATCACCCATGTGCATGTACATATATGCTGTAATTTGTCTTGAAAGTCATGTTACATGAAAGCGTTTTTGCCAAATGAAAGGAACTCGGGAGACAGGTTGAATGCAGGTTATCTGTTGGTTCTGACACAACTTCAAAATCTGGTTGAGTTTGTCAGTAGACAATCCACCATGAAGAACTTGACACATTCTTTCAAAGTTGGGATTTGTTGGCAATGCTCAGACAGAGGATTCGAGATCAACTCGTTTACTTATTTTCTGTAGTTACTGCATTTGAATATACTAAAATTTGCAACATTAATGAAAGTAGATTAGAACAATGATCAGGTCGCCCTCGCATGCATTGTGCGTTTTTTGTTTTGTTTTGTGTCTTTGGTTGCGGCCTGTGCCCAGTGCCGTCGGATTTCATAAAGTGACATCATCTTTTACAGGTTATAGTCATGCTTTACTTGGTTAAATGAACTTGTCCTCTGAAACAGGATAGATGAAGGAAATGTGCATTGTGAGTCCTCGTACATCAATGCTCACCGCCAATTTGCACTTGATGTCTCAAATTTCAAAAACTTAGAATCATACCAAGTTCCACACGTAAAGTTTGTTTAGTATAACTTGATATGTTTGTAAAATTGATGACACTTTTTTATCATTTTTTTTTTCTCTCTCAGATTCAAACTTCATTTTTCAGTCTGAAAATTTTTATGTGAATCCCTTAAAGTAATGTTTGGTAATTTGTGTAGAATTCGTGATATCAAAGTTCTACATGCTGGCCCAATTGTATTATGCCAAACAAAAAAATAGCTGTGTTTCCGGTTACTCGACTCAACCTAGAAAATCACACGCAACTTATATCTTTTGATTTGACAAATCAATAAAATATATACACTTATGGTGCCTTGCCCCAGCTTCTTTACTACTCAATCACAGTGCTGATATGTAATATTGACGAGCACATGTACATTATTAATCTGACACTGACTTAGTACCTATTAGAAATATACACGCCCCCCCTCCAAAAAAAATACAGATCATCATCCAACCCTAATCTTTTGGGCCATAAAAATTTAAAGTGAAAAAAATTATTTTACCCAACCAACCACCCTAATTTATTTTTCAGTGTAATAGGAAACAGAAATAATGTTTTGTTTGGCCACACAAGTACATGTGCACTGTCTCCATTGTAAACATGTATACATTGCATCATTGTCTTCATACTCTGTGTTTGTGTTTTTATTTCAGTCGAACTGTTATATGTATGTGCTGGTACCCTGTTATAAAAACAATTAGTTTACTGTACATGTAAATGACTGGGTACCAGCACACACATGTACATATACATGTACATGTAGCTATTCTCAAACTTTCCCACCAGGCTATTGTGTTTTGGCACAGGAAGTACGTCCTTGCAAGTCTTTTCCTGGCACGGAAACCTTTACGGATGCTAAGGCTAGGCGACAACTTAGGTCCAAAAAGATCTAATCGCAGGAGTTTATAAGGAAACTTTATTACACATTTATACCCAGCCCATCACCAGATCCACAGAATGAGGATTTAGTTAGTTTCTACAGTACCAGTCACAGAGGACGGTTTGCAAAGGATTTATGTCTGGATTACCGTACATGCAAGACACCACTTTCATGCAGTTTTGACTTCTTTCTCGTAGATTTGACACAGGAGGAGATCAAACTCCTGAACGACATCCGACGAGCCAAGCAACAGCTCCTGAGGGAAATCAAGGTAAGTTGCTCAGGAATTTGGTGTTTATTTCATCAGTCCGTCGACATTGGAACATTCAAAAAGACCTGTTTTAAACTGAGACTGGGAATCTGTGTTTAATTTGATAAAAAACGTTTAGACCAACTGTCCCATAACCTTTCAATGTTCAGCCAACACTTCAGAGCTAGGCTCCCTACTACCTACCTCAGTGTTTACTTGTAATCATATATGCATGTATTTCACCAACAATGCTTGTGATTGGCTCAGTGTAAAACTTTACTTAGAGGGCATTCAAAATGTGCAAAATTTTTTCTTTAGATTTAATTCTCCCCCTCAAAAAGTAGATGGATGCAGGAAAAAAACCACTATGCAAGTAGGAGAACAGCATTCATTTTTATTGTTTAAAAGTGAATACCGGATCAAATCAGTCATATGTCAAACCTGGGGGGAAAAATGGGTTCCGAAAAACATTTAGGGAAATCTGTGAACATTTACTGAACTTCGATTATTTTGTCTTAAATACTGGACAAGCTGGGTTCGAAAAATCACTGAACCAGTGCACGGACAGAGGCCAGTGATGGCCTCAGTCTTGCAGCATGGATACCAGTGTACATGTACATGTAAGCGGGGCAGTCATTTTGAAATTTCATTGCAAATTGTGTGAGCTTCATTTTCTTTGAGTTAAAAATGAGTGTATGGGCACTTGGATGAGTCCAGAGTTGGACCAAGAGAGGGCGCAATTTTCCTAGCAACGGAGACTCCTTTGGTCATGTTGGTGGGAACTGCACTTCGCCGGTTCACAAAGAACTATAAAATGCACGTGTCAGAGTCGCGTCACTTCCAACAAATGAACACTCCCCCATCAACATGGCTCTTGTGAGGGGGTGCTTCTGCTCACGGCGTATTACTTACTAAACTTTTCAGACGGTTCAGTACGTTTAAACAGCTGGGTCATACGATAATCACTCAGGTTGCCATGTTAGTCTTGCGACTTGTGTGTGGGTTGACCTGTTGAATTTGCAGCTTAGCAGTAGCCAACCACATTTATTCAAAATCTGCCAAGAAGTTGATATAAAAAGGTAAGAGCCCAGTTTTGTCAGCTTTCATTGGGCCGATGCTCGTTGGAGTTACCGGTACAAAGAGTGTGCTCTTGAGTTATCTGCAAAGTGGAGGAGTTTGGATGACGGAAAGCTCTGAGATGCATAAAAAGCCCACTATAAGATGTCTTTCCATTAAAATGCATTATACACAATTTCGCTAGGATGTGACTACACACTTATCATATCCAGAGAGGTTTATAACTACACTCAATCTGTATATCAGACCGTACATCAGACCGGTGCTTTATTCATATTACTGATAGACCGGGGCTCCGATTTCAGGAATGACACAACTGACCGCAGTGCCACAACCGTTACTTACTGGAACATGTTATGAGACTGATGGTTACAAAGTGATTACGAACCTTTTTGTTAAACGTATGGTAAATGAAGGCATACACACGTTTACAGAAGATATATCATACCACGTAACTCAAAAACAATGAACCTCGCACATGCACAATTTCCTTTTTTGCAAAAATATCGGAATTATTCGCAGATAAATTTATCAAAAAACAACCAAATTAACACCACCACGCTGCCTGTCTTGCACTGGTATCGAGGCTGCAAGATTGAGTTTAAATCACTGGCCTCCTTCCAATGGTCCAGTAAGTGATTCGAATCTGGTGGAATTGTAAAATATTAGAATTTCTATGTGGTAAGGTATTAAAATTATTTTTCATTCAGAATTCATACCTTGTGCAAGGCCAATAAAATGTCCTTTATGACCTTATGGGGGGTTCAAAACCTTTATTGTCATGGGAGACTCATATTTTTATTCAAGAACCAGCGGTAATGCCAGGCCAGATTTCCACTCAAGACTGAACGCATCTAGTATGAAAATTTCACATCAAGGGATTATTGTTGGAAACAAAATTGAAAGTCAAGTTGAAGTAAACCCAGTGTTGGTGCCCACAGTACGTGCATGTAACAGTACCGCTTATAGACAGCACCTAACACACAAACCTTATATACCTAATGCGGACCCCTGAACAAAAGAGGTCCTCAGAATCTAGGTTGTGTAAGCCTTGTGTGGACTAGGTCAGGTCCACAAAAGGTTACCCTCCCCCCTCCCTTTCTGGAAAACAGGTTGTCGCAAAGTGAAGAGGAATGGTCAAGGAACATTTCATTTGAAAAATCAAGCTTAAAAAATAATGTTCGCAGTTCAGGCAAACTTTGTCTTTCACCTCAACCTTTTGAGAGAATTCCCTGTCAGGAAACACAGAGCCCTTCACTTTGTGCACAAGTAGATGGAAATGCGTAGTGCTTATTTTATCTTATCTTGAGAACTTTTTGAAATTTCTATTTCAAAGGAATTTAACTTGCGTAGAAGGAAATGATAAATAGGGCGGATAAGCTTTCTCCATTTTTTTGCAACATTGGCTTTTATTGGTGTACTAGTCTGATTCCCTAACTGGACAGTAATGCCTGGGCATCTTTAATTGCACAATGTACATGTAATATAGGTCAGGGAAACCAGACTTGCAGGCTGTGATGGTTGCAGCCAAGTTTGACTTGGACATGCCTATCTTGTTCGATTTGTTTCCTGCATGACAAATCTGGGGTTCAGGAACATTTTTTCTTGCAAACCAATTACGTATAACACCCTCATTTATGCTTGGAAATTTATGGTCTTGTCAAATTAGATTTAAGATGAAAAGTGGAGGTCCATGAAGTACCGGTAACTTTAATTATGTGCAACAAATTTCTGTCTCGAACAAAGATATTGGTCTCAAACAAAGTGTTAGTGATCTTAGGCAACCAAAAGGGGTTTTGAATTCTTTCCGTTTGGTTTACACCTTACTGAAAAAAATCCATGCCCCATATGCAGGAATTTAACAAGGAAATGTATGTATACCCGAACATATTAATGTTAATTACTGGAAACTGTAGGCAGGACACGTGTGCGCACACCTGTACGTGTACATGATGGATAGTGTACTAATGATGGATAGATTTCCGACAACGACAACGTTAGTATTTTATTTAGGAAACTGTGCAGTCCTGTGCAGGATGTTCACATGTACTGTATGAATACTTCAAGCCCTACTGTGGTTAATACATTGTTCCAGAATGGATGCCTTACATGTAGCCGTGGATAACTCCCGAACAACCATCAAGTGGTACATAAGCTTGGTGCCGGTATGTACATGTATGGACAATTTATGGTCTCCGTATGTGAACAAGGCAATGAGGGTGTTTACATTAATGTTCCAGTACATTAGTTTTAATCTCTCTTGGGAGGAGGCATTATGTGCGCATGGCACGTTAGCGTGCATCTGGTGAGGGGCACTGCATTAGCCCTAAACCCTCCCAGATCCTTTGATATCTATCGCAGAAACAGCACCGTTGGTTTTGCCGTTCAGTAGAAGAGTTTGAAGGATTCAGGAGAAGAGGTCCTTTATAGGGGGGGTCATATTGTGATCTTTTGCTGGAGAACTGGGACGGACAACTTCAAAGAACAATTCTTTCCAACATGCGGAGTCTTATCTGCTTCGGAGTTTGGGTACTGAGTGATTCCATTTGATTTTGGGCTTAGTGTCGCCTAAGCTTACATACATACATGTACAGTCATTTGCAAACTTCCGGACCATCCATACAATATGCATAAATTAACCTGAAGAAAAACCAAACTTAAACCAATCAATCATGGCAGCTTATGTTTATTTTCAGTGTGTAACCTTAGTGCCTTGGCTAAACAGCTATTTGACTACATTTCCATGATTTGAAATGTTAACAGTCTAATACAATAGTGTGCCTTCCTTTATTTCTGATTACTTAGACTGCCTTGTAATGTCATACAAGATCTGCCTTAAAAAAATTTCATTCAAATGGGTATGTAGCACTACACTGATGTTGTGCGCCACTGTAAAAGCAAGTAATCATTTAAGTAATGAGACGATGTAATGCAGGCCTGTTGACAGAAACACTAATAAAATTGCAGGTGGTCTTCAACTCTTGCAGATAACTTACCTGTGCATTTACATGTACATATGTAGGTATTATAAATGAACAGGTCTCCAGGGTGTGCAGCAGCGTTCTTCTTTGAATCGTTAAAATCCACTCCAGAATACTAGGTGGATTCATACTCGGCATCGGTAATGCCGAGTATTCGGTACATGCGTGAAACAGTCAGCTTGGCATTCCCAAGTGGCGCTAAAAAGAGCAGCAACTTTTGGTTGCAAACGCTGACGTGTTTCTCACCATTGTTGTCTCCTTCCGTCTAAACGCAGAGGCCAAAGGTCGTGCCAAAATTTTGTCTCCTTAATTTTACACACACATGTACATGTACAACAGCGTCTGGAACCCTAATTATCCTCAACCCTCCAATTTCAATATGATTTTGAATGTACGTGCACCGTACATAGGTGTGCACCCTAGGGAGTTACGGTGAACCACCTTATCACAGTTTCTTTAAATTTATTCTTGATCACCCTGGGTTAAATCAGTTCAGCAATTGCTGTTTTCCACTGATGCCCAGCACTTTACATGGTCAAAAAGTAAAACAGCATAAAACAGTGTAATTTATAATAAAACAGAATTATAACAGTTCAAATTTCAGACTGGGTATGAAAAACACATTACCAGTTCAAATTACACTTTATAGACAGTTGTTTGGTCGCAGCAGCATATTGGACCAACAGACAGGAGGTCACTTCATGAAATTGCTTAGAGAAAATTGCTTGACTATTTACACGTATGCTGAAGCAGTCAGCATACACAGTACATCAGGAGTCTGGTTAATCATTTATTTCCACACTTTCAGTTCGAGATAAAATCCTGGAAATGGAAAAAAAATGCTGAACGGTCTTACTTTCTGAAATTTTCATCTTGAAGCTGAGACAAGTTGTGTGGAATGGTTCTGATGGGTACATGTCCTCCTTAGTACATGTACATTGTACATGTGCACATGTACAGTAAGTGCATTTTGTACATGTATGTTAGGAAAGCAGGAGTGCCTTTTTCTGCAATCAAATTATCCTGACGTTCATTTGATTCTCACCAAGCGCTGTAAAAGAAATTAAGAACTTCGGTCACAAGGCGCATGCAATGTCCTTGGTCACCGTTTATGGGCGGACTCCAAGACAGATTAAAATCAATTCCTAATTTTGTTTGTGTAACGTCAGTTTATCTCAGAAACTGCAGCTGAAGCAGCCATATGTTAGTGCTGCTTTCTGGTTCCATCCTGTCTTGTTAATATATAGGTAGATGTTGGTATAAATAAGGAAAAATGAAATCAAATCCACGCTCGGTCTGGCTTGCTCTGCATGAGGGATCCCGTTATTAAAGGCTCCCCATCATGTATGTTAATAAGCCTTTCATTACTGGTTGATAAGAAACACAAGCCCCATGTTGAAAGTTACTTGGCATAATTGAGCGCACTGGCGTGGTGCAGGAGGATTTGATGTGGGTCTGTGGGTGTGTGGTTTTTTTTTTCTGTCCAGTTCTTGGACAGCGCTGGGGAAGCTTTGCCTCTGCCTTTCTCGGATGCACCAGTCGTGACAGAGAGATCACCTGGATGGGAAAGGGGAGGCGAAGGAGAGTTTGTCCAGTCATTAGCGAGGAAAATTGCATTATTGTGGGATGTTAGCGTGCTGCATCATTTGGAGATGAAGTGTTCTTTTTGTGATGTTTTTTGAGGCGAATAGATGGACGTATGTGGACATGGATGTTTGGAGACTCCTGTTGAGTTCATGAGGTGTAAATTGTACACTCTGTACATTGGATTTGTTCGTCAGCTGCACCATCGTATTGGATTATATGCAATCTACCGGATCTACATAAGAATGTACTTCGATGTATTTGTGCTGCCACATTTGTGTAAAATACTGGATGAATCATTCTATTATTCTGCGTAGTGAATGCTGCATGTAACTATCGGCCGGGTCAATCACTCATGACATGGAGAATGAGGTTGCTCAAAGGTGCGATTGGGTACCAGACCTTTCACAGCCAAAAAGTGAGTTCAAGATTGAGAATGAAAGTTCAGTTGTCCATGTTTTGCTCTTTTTACTTCCAAAATAAAGAAACGCTCTTCGGGTTGTGTTGCATCCAGTGAGGTTCTAACAAGTCTCTGAGAATGTTCTTCAACAGTTCTCAATTTGGTTCCCTTGCCGTCAATGTAAAAAGAAGATATTTATGATGTGCTAGATTAATCATTTGTGTTTCCATTGCAGGCAGATTGACAATGCAAAAGTTGTTTCATGCTGATGATTTGACTGCCTTATTACTTATTTGCTTGACATGTATTGAAGGAATCCTGGGAACATAGTTAGTTAGATACAAAGTATCAGGGTTGAACTTTGTGGCGGACTTTACATGTAAGCTGTTTTTTTAACAGCGTTCTTTTCTACGCTGATGTGTTTCTCTTCAGTATGTCCCTTTGCTGGAGGGACTTTTGGGATTGACAGAGTGAGGCCACATGATGCTTTGGGGAACATGATGAGACAAGTTTTCAGGGACAGGTCTCTCCTCATCTCCTCAACTGTTCCGAGTGCCAATTCAACACTCGGTCCTGCCCAGTCTTTCATGTTGTCCGTAGGCTGTTAGCTGGTCCTTCACTCTGTTGCACTCCCTGGTAAAAAAGGCTACCTTTCTAGGCCATGTTCACATATGTTTGCAATCTTTCAGTCCTACATGTAGGTAACCCAGCAAAGGAAGGCAGAGTACCACACCCCTAGCTTGGGAAATACTTTTAAATTTTAGCACTAACGTGTCCAGCAAAGCAGTTTTTTTTCCTACAAACATGCATGTATATACTCAAGCAAGAAGGCAGCAGGGCCATTCTGTACAGTAATGGAAGATGACTGTCAACAACGAATTGTTGTAACTGAAATAAAAATCCTCTTGTTTTACTATTTTGTTTCTACAGGAGCTCGAAAATGAGATCGCCAGTGTCACAGCAGACCTAGAGAGCATGGACAATGATGAGAGGTAAGAAACAAAGCCAAACAAACAAACAAACAAACAAACAAGCAGACTTGGAACACTCAAAATCCCAATTCACAGAACATTCTTTCAGAGAACGAGGAAATGGGGACCAAATTCATCTGAATCCGTTCCTGTGCGGCTTCAGCGAATCGGACATAGACAAAAGTGCTCGTTTCAGACGCCAATTTTGTGTTTCTGGGTCATTCTATTCAAATTAGGGGTCCAATTTTTTTGTATCCCTGTCACATCTGACATTTGATTTTGTTACTCAGAACACATCCTGTAATTTCCGAGAGTGATGAATTGAAGCAAATTACCTGCCAAACAAATAAAACTAGTTCGAAAACAATTTCAGTGATACATGTACATCCATGTCAAATTACACAGGTCAGGTGTAACGGCGATACAGAAATGTCACACTTTTGGACTCGGAATTAATAGAATTACCCTTCTACAGAGTAAAATTATTTGGTGATGCAGACTCCACCAAGTACTTGCCTTCGCCCGAGAACTTGTAAATTTTCCAGCATTTTTATTGAAAGGTATCGATATTGAAGGTGGGGGAGTGTGACCTGATGGTTTATTGGGTTTGTGTCTTGTGATCAGAGGGTTGGGGCTCAAATCCAGCTGCTGGCCATATGTTGTGTCCTTGAGCTGGCCACTTTACCCCATGTGGCTCTCTCTACCCAGGAATATACATGTAAATGGTACCGGGCGTTAGCCGGTGATCAGCACTGGACTTGCACTCCATCCAGAGGAATAGGAATACCGGTATTCTTAGTCATTACATTCGATCATGATAGACTTAACTAGCAGACATAAAATAAAGCCAGAATTAAAGGTACATGTACCCGTAAATTGCCCGTAGGTTTTGTACGGAAGGCCTACACATCAAATTAAACGCTTATGTACACATACATGTACTTACCCCAAACAACAAACTTAGGTGTTACTCATGTAAGCTTTAAACTAATCCCATTGCACTCTCCTGTAAATGTTTAAACCTGGCATGCGTGTGCATTTAGGTTTAAGTCAAAATACTTGGTTAAAGAGGCATTTAACTTTGCGTACATGTACTGCCTGCCGGTGAGCAAAGTACCACTGCCCTAATGGCGCCCAATTCTGGTCATCAAAGTAGTCCGTACAGCTTTGAATATACGTGCACGCCACTTGTATCACATCAGTTATCTAATCGGATTCACACTGACACAAACCAAAAACAAAAGTTCAAACAATGCTGCTTCTCATTTTGAAGTCCCATCGAACAAAGCCCGAGATTGTTTTTTTCCCCTTGAAATGTTGTCTATTGATACCGGCGCTGCAATTCAGCCTGGTATCTTGTCCCATCTGAGAGAAATTCGTCACTCGCGAAGATGGGGAATACACGCATTAGTCAGCAGAGTGTCGGACTGGGAACCAGATGAACATACCAGATGTGCCGGCGCAGACAAGTTCAGGAAAAGTTGAGTCAGAATATATTGTCGGCCGTAGTGCTGTGTCCCTCGCCGTTCTGCTGCTCCAGGAAACTGGATTTCCAGGCTCTGTTGATGCACTTCCCTTTTTACTCCCGAGGCAGACATTCAGGAAAGAAAGTTTGTACATGTAAGCCCATCGGTACCACACAGTGCTGCAGTTGTTCATTTACAATTAACACAACCTAGTAATGCAGTTAAGCAGAAGGTTTACAAGTAAATACAGGGAATAAAAGAGGGCAAAGGATTTATAAGCAGATGAAACCATGCATGTAAATGTGTAAACACTCCTAAAGGATTGCCAAAAAAATTCAGTGGAAGCACTAATAAAATTGATTGTTGAAGAAGAAATCAAGGCATTCTCTGTGCAAACAGCGCATCTCATTTGGAACCTCATCTCACCGTGCGTTGGCCTAGATCCGTACATGAACATTTGCTCACATTATCCGACTGCTGTGTACAATGTACATGTATGCTCTCGTACTTGTACTGGCACTTTTGTTAACCGATCAAAGAAATTTATACACAAAGAAAGGTCGACCCTGCACCAACATTGCCAGACAAAAGTCTGTCATGTTTTATCCAGAATGTGATGGAAATCAGCACAAGCACCTTCACATGTAAACCTTTCTGTTTTCATAAGATGTACAAAACTTTTTTCGGCTGGAATTTTTAATTAAATCTAAAGTACTGGACATCAAGACGTACATGTACGTACTTCCTTGTTCAGGCATTAAGAGCAATAGACTGCTGAGTGCATGTGTAAGATTATATTACAAACGAAAACTTGGGATGTCGCTGAAAGTGGGTATTTTGCTAACAGAATTCCTCCTTTCAGAATAAGAGTTAGCATCATTTCATGGACACACCAAGTGTCTCTTTAATTGAAGCAAATTTAATAGAGTTTGCATGGGGGGGCAGAGGACACTATATCAACAAGAGATGTATGTACCGGTACTCAGCATAATGATGTAGAAAATATTTTGTTTTATCTGAGAGGGATAAAGTGTTCTTTTATTAACAGACCTCTGTTTTCAAGAAATGCATGTATACTTATCTGTTTTGTATCCAACTCCAAAGGAGTGTTTTGTTGGGAGTGAAATAAAACTTGCATGTATATTCATTTTAGCTTTAATTTCACTGTGTATGAAATGTAAATATGTAAACCTCGATTTGGCCTTGGACCAACCAGGTTTGAAAAACTTTACGAGACAGGTACAGTTGGAAAGATGGTTTGAGAAGTTTATTCTTTGCAAATCAGAGTGTGGAAATATTGCCTCTTGAAATTCATTTCAGTCGTCCTCGGGTTGTATGATCTGTCTCTCCTTTATCGGTCAAACTTTTTGCTCGGGAAGATTTTTTTTCGGAATTAATAGCTCAGATGATGGTGCCCCCAGACACCATATGGCCCTCCCCTGATGCTGGTTAATTGGCGACACTCCGCCAGATTGCATATCGTTTTCACGCCGTACCAGGGAGCATAGTGGGAGGGCTTTGCAAGCTGGGACTGGGCTAGTCATTGTCGGGTCAGTAGGTCAACTCCTCGTGGGGATCTTAAGGAGACAGAACTGTGAACGAAGGGTGGGCATTCGGCAAAAGGTTGATTTAGAAACAGAAAGTCTGACCACTAAATTTAGTCAACTGTTAAGCTGTTGATAACCCAGCAGTTAATATGTGTTAATATATACCTACTTTGAACTAAATATTGGTAGTTATATTTTGTACTTACACTTTCTTTCCCAAGGGAAACGCCGGGATTACTTTCTGGCTTTCAGGTCATCCAGTGTGCAATGCACATGTACATATATGTGCACATGCATGGTCACAATGTTTCAATTTGAGTTACAGGTGCTTTAATTTACAGGGTACCAGGATACTTGTACATGTACATTGAAGAAAGTCGGACCTGGACTGGCTTTCACTTTCTAATCAGATTTGCTGTTGTTCAATAAGTATGTAACTGTACATGTTACATGCAGAACTTGCCAAAGCATCTGAACACTGTCCAAAAAGAAAAAAAAGCAGCAACGGCACTGTAATTGCCAGTACCGGTTTTTAGGATACTCCAGAGCGAAACAAATTGCGCCAACTGACTTCCACTTTCTGGTCGGATTTCCCTGTAAATTTTGCCTCTCAGATGCTCAAAATCCATACATGTACACGTACAAACAGATTAAAATTTCCTTATCCCAACTTGAGGAATTCAAACGTTCTTTTGTGATTAATATAACACAGATTACACAGCTTGCATGTTTAAATGTTGGAGGCAGTGAGAATGATGGTTTGGTTCATTTACACCAGCCATTTGTGTGAAATGAAATTACATGTACCGGTACTCTGTGACCGTGCACAAGTTTCTTCAATGTTTTTGTGTACGTTTCCTTTTAATTCAGTCCTTCACACTGTTCATATAATTTCGACCAGAAACAGCACCTGTCAGATGCGTTTATGTAAGTGGAAATTTGAACCAGACAGCGTTAATGTAGCCATCTTTGTTTTATGCATAGTATCCAATTTGGAAATGATATGAAATCATGGGTACATGCATGCATGTGTGTCACAAAAATGTACATACACCATACATGTACATATATGTGTAAGCCTCCGTCAGCATACCTTCTGTTTCTGTTTTAAAGGAAGTGAAATCTATACAGTTACGAAACCTGAATATTGAGTTAAGATTAGAGTCACATTTGCTTTGGACTCATTTGCAAAATGGCAAACGAGCAGCCTTTTACATGCGTCCACACGTGTAAGTATTTAACACGGTGCTTGTGAAAATGCTCATTCTTGCAATGCTTGACGAGACATTTCCCAGGTAGGTTTGTTTCATCCTTACTCTGTTAGGTGTTTGCTACGCTCACTGGCGATGGAGTATGCCGACGTTTTCTTGCAATTAAAAAATGCACACAGGAATAACTACCGTTGGTACAGTCAGACAGTGGATGCCTTGACACTGTAAGCGCCGAACCACGTTGTTGCGGCAGGTGGTGCCAAGCCGAGCCTGCAATTTCATGGAGACTGTGGGCAGTAAGCATGGCTAAAGGCATGCTTACCTTGGAGGAAAATTTGCTTTAAAGGTACCCTGTATTGACAAAATGCTATGCCCGCACAACCAGGCCAAGCACCGCCACGAAATCGTGCTTAAAGGTAGCAGATTTGTCTGCTACAGTAAGCATGTCTTTTCTGGTAACTGTTAAGCAGCTCCATGCAGTTGGGCATAGGTTTTAGTTCCAACTTGGTCCACAAGAAAATCAGTTTTTATTTTCTTTATGTACATGTATGTATATGAACGGTAATGTGGATGCAGTTAAAATTTTTAAGCCTCTTGAGTTTACTGGAGATAAGAATTTAGTAATGGTTGATTTTAATTTTTCTTTGATTGTTTTTATTCATAATTCAGCAGCAAGACGGGCTCCAAGAGTAAGCAGATGAACACAGGCCGCAAGAAGTTCAACATGGATCCCAAAAAGGTAGAGTAAATTATTCCATGTTTCTCCCCAGCTTCGCCGTCATCCCTGCCCTAGAAACTGCTGTTGGGCATCTAATATTCGGACCAAACGAACAAACTTTTATCATTGGTTTCATGTCATACAGTCGGACATTCCTGCAGCAAAGCTTTAGTCTTATTTAGCTCGAGTTTCGATACTCAGGCAGGGTTTCATCCCGGGGATAAAATGTCTGCCCGACCTTGGTGAGGCAGTGTTAAAAACTGCCTGTCAGTTCCCAGCAACTTTTTTTAACCCAGAGTCCATGTCTTGAGTCCATGTTTCCACTTTACGTTGTTCTGAATTCTGTGGAAGGAAAAGTAAAAATGAATTCACCAGTGTCAATGATTTGTGAAATAACTGGGGGGGTTGTAAATTTTGGACAAGCAAAAACTGCCTGTCCTGAATGCTTTTTGCCCATCCTCGGGACAGATGGACACTGTGCTTAGCGTCAGGGTCATTTAGTTGAAGGCGAAGTCAAGTTCTGAAGAATGGCTGCCATCTGACAGCATTGTTTGTCTTGTGTCTGTATACAATTTCTGTGTGGTACACATACATGTTTGAAGTTTGCCATACGCACAATTAACTTTGTCAAATTCGAGAGCACTTTTTTGGTGCCGATGTTTATTTATGAGCCCATTGAAACCCTCCATGTTTAAATCTTTCAGTTCAGAGTCAGTGACATTTCCAGCTTTGTTGGAGGGAAAATCACAGATAATTTCCATTTTGATGAGTCTTGTACCGAAGAGCTTGTATTCAGTTTGCATGCATATCTCCTGGGATTATCTTGACATCACTCTGTGTTTGACAACCTGGCAGCTGCATCGCCTAAAGATAGCATTCGTCCATACGGGAGTATTGTGAACCAAATTCGCAGTTCATTGCAGTTCATTGCATTTCTTGATTCAGAACTTAAAGGAGACAACAATGACAATTCTCTTTGAATATTCCACCGGTGATTTAATGTTCTCTTTACAGCAACACCTAGGCCCAGCAGAAGAGGCGTTTTGAACAGTGAAAAAGTTACCATGCCTCTCTGAGAGAGTGACTATATTTTTCCAGGTCGTTGCTCTAAGCGTTTCTTCATCATGAAAATTGTATTCCTTCTTCAACCTGAAGTTGTTTGGCCCCTGCACAATCTTGTTCCACTCTGGCATATTTTCTTCTTTTGTTTTGGTGGGGGGGTTGAGTTAGCACTCGCACACCAGCTTAATCGACGCTTGAGACTTTTTGAGTTGTTTCATCTCTTTTTGGCCGTTCTACATATATTTGAACGCGTAGTTTGGTTTCACCTCTGCTGCCCTTTCCCTTGAATGTCTGCAGTTGAGATGTCCAATCTCACCTCGCAGGCCAAAAATATTCCACATTCTGGCTGCTCTCCGGAGATTCCCTCGGTTAAGCCAGACAGATAGGAGACGTGCCTGCATCTGTGATTTGTTGTCGCAGCCGTCGCGCTCCGAAATCCCCCAGGTAGCCCCGGAGAAATGTCGCTTCTCCAAATAATTTCCTCCAACGTAAATGAAGTCGGCCGTCCGGCCGAAATGGGGGACGGTATGAACAACTGTTGTCATCTCTATCGTTTGCTCAGTTTGAGGTCAGTTTCACCAGTGCGTCTACTTACGAAATCTGAGTGATGCAACATGTTTTGCAACATGTTTATGGACTTCGGAGTGTGTGCCAGTACCAATGCAGACATCACATCACTTTTAAACCGAGTGGGAAACAAGCCACAAATAAAACCAAACCAAAACATCTGAAGAGGTGAATGTTTCTGGCGTGCAACTGTTCCTCGGATCAGCTGATTCCCTAGTTTTTCACTTCAGACTCATGTCATTGTCAATTAATATACACTGTACAAAAAGTCTTGTGTAGATTGGAATATCCTCAATTTTTGTCAAAGTCCAAGTTGCATGTCAATTTTTTTTTAACATGTCAAACACATAGTGTATTTCAAAGTTTATATCTTGCATTTCTGTATTTTATTCGTTTAGCTCTTGGTTTCACAGCACAGGCGTGCAACTTTTCCTTGGATCAGCTAATTTACTCGTTTTTTATCTTCACACTCTCTGCCAATAAAAATTGAAAACACTATACAAAGTCGTGTAAAGATTGGAATTTCCTCGTTTTCTGTTTGAGTCGGAGTTGCCTGCCTGATAGCACCAGAAATGTGTAAACAAGGTTCGACTGTGAACGCATTACATCATTCATTTAATTTGTAATGAAAGTCTGGAGTTTGCCATGCTATTCAGTTATCACCGGCCAGTTATGGAGACTGAGCTTTGTAAGCATTGCCCCTCACCTACGGAATGCACTTCCTGAATACCGGGTACATGTATGTTAGACAAGAACGTGACATCTCGCACTCTCAACAGCGCTTCAAAATCTTTCTCACTGGCCTTTTTATCCAAAGCACAAAACCAAATTTTTTTCTTGCTTTCCACTCATTCCGGCATCTTTGAATGCTTACAGATAAAGTGCCTATCTGTTTGTAATCAGTGGTATGTATGCCCACCTGTGAATTTGTGTCTCCACCAACTATTTGTGACGCTTTTACCTGAGACCAAGAAACTAAACTTGCGTAACTTGAGGACAGGCCCAAAGCCCAAAGAGGCATTGGTGGTCTGATTGGATGATGCGCGACTACAGTGTGTGTCATAGAGGAATCTTTATAAGTTTAGCACTGCACATCTGTTTCTTTGTGGGGAGAAAAAAAAAGTTTGACCATCTTTTTGTACATTTTGCTGCCAGGCAGGAGGCACCAATCAGGGATCATGACTTTTTTTTAACCTGGCAGTGGTTTCCCTGGTACCCTGCTGACTCATTCTTAATTGTCCCCAGGTGGATATCAGGCTCATTGAAGACCGGAGAGCCGGAAACCAGCTATTAATACCTCTACTTCCTCCCTGCTCCCTCCTTCCCCCATTTGTTGCCAGAAAAGCACCAAATTGTGTGTTTGGAATGGTTAAGAGCTGAATGTGTGGTTGGCCTTTGTGTACTCGAACGTGAACCTGAATGCCTAGGCGTACAGTGCATTACAATTATAAGTTACATTTAACTTAGGAATGGAATATTGCCTTCACACATTTTTTCTATTCGGGGAATTCCATTTTCACTTCACAAACTGACAATTTTTACCAAAGTGGGAAAAGATTTTTTTCTTTTTCTTCCAATTGAATTTTTCTTCCAAAAGAATTTTCATAGATTTTCCCACAAAGGAGAAAAAATGTGCACGGATTTTCACACAAAGTGCGAAAAGCATTTTCCTAGATCTTCCTACAAGTGAGAAAAGGTTCTCATTGAGTCCGAAAAAGATTTTCTCAGATTTTCCAACAAATGGGAAATCGTTTCTCCGCCTTTTCATGCGAATTGGAAATTATTGTCACTCCTTGTGAAATGCGAGAGTGAATGTGGAAAGTGAAATGGTTTCATCAAATTTCCCATCCCAATTCCAATGTGAACTTTTAGTTGTAATGTACGTACTGAATATACAGTGGAACATGCATGTGTACGTGTACATTACTAAATTTACTGAAAACTTTCAGGAGATAATTCCTTGACGTATGAATTCTGTGTCTGTTACAATCGTAAGCAATTTTTGGGGTGGCTACTGAGCTTGATTGGGAAAACTGCTTATACCAAAAAAATATGGTAAGGCGCAACCCCATGCCCGAGTTACAGAATTGTGGGACATTCTAAGTTTAACCTCATAAGCTGACTGTCTCTGGAAAATTGCCGAAACATCTAGGAATACCACGGATAACTTCAAGCTCTGTATGGGCTGTGTTACAGTGTAAACTGCATTTCAGGAAAAGAACTCTGAAATTACATACATATCCATCAGTGCACTAGTACATGTAGGTTTTGTGGAAAAGGGTATTCTCGTGTTATCAACTATGGCATCGCCTGACAAGCGTGGCGTTGCTGTTATTCTTCACATGTTCTTATGCTCATTTATTCCAAGTGAACAGACCCAAATACATGTAAGTCACTACCAGTGTTGACAGAGCATCTATCTTGTACAACAGTTTGACATTTTGAGATAAAATTGGGGTATCTCCCAGACACATATTTTCTTCAAATATAAATTGTTAAATTTTAAGTCTGTAATAATGTCAAGTGAAATTTATCGTTCATGCAATGTGCGTATCCCCAGAAAAGGAGCTACTGAACTTATATCTTGCTTTTTTAGACTGTATCCCAAAAAATGTACAATTTGAGTATCACTTTGTAGAAATGTGTTTTAAACTATTTTTATAGGAAAAGTACCTGCCCAAAGCTTACTTGATTTTAATGAAAGTATCACAGTGTTTCCCTGAGCGTGAATTTGATGGGTTTGCATTCCTCAAACAATCTTCTCTACTTTCCCACGTTACTTTTTTTTTTTAGAAATGTATCAGCCTGCATGCGATGTACATACGTGTTAGTTTCAGGAGAATGAACCAAATAAAGCAGGATTACTTGGCAAACCCTGTGCCAGTGTTTGCCCGGGTTTTGCCGGTCAGAAATTGAGATTTGCCCCCCTTTCCTTGTCCCACTTTTCAAGGCATGGCTTCCCCTATGCCCCTCCCATAAATAACCCTGATGGGACATCATCAGAGCGCTCTCTCCCCCTTCCCCACCGTTCTTCCCCTGTCTCCCTTGTCTAGACTCATCTGTCCTGGTGTCTACACAATCTTTGGAAGCTGGGGGGAGGTATCCCTGGCAAACCTTTATTTTGCAAGGTCAATGGGAAAGAGTGCTGTTTCCTATGGCCATCAACGGCACACGGCTGGTTACGCCGAAGTGCTATCTCCGGGACATGTCACGTGAGCATGGGAGCTCCTGACACTTGGTGAAATGCAGAAAGGTTATCAGAAAACATCACATTTGGGGAACTAGTGATCAAATTTATGCAAGTTGACTCCTGAAAGTGCAGTCAAGGTGCTGTCAGATACATGGACAAGCGCGTCAATGTATGCAGATTTTCATTAATACAGGAGATTCGTGAGTAATACAGTGCGCCACCAAGAGGTTGGCAATAGGAGGGTCCTCTTTTGCAGTGCATTATGGGAGAAATGATTGGCAAAGTCGTATTTGACAGCTATGCTATGCTCAGGGAACTTGACTGAATCCCGTGTTTTTCTGGGTTCAATATTTGGGAGGGATTTTTGAGTGTCAGTGTAGATTAAGCAAGGTGGTGGGTTTTTATTGAGGCAAGAGATGCCCTGATCATACTTTCATAAAGTTGTCTGCTGATAATTGCTGAGATGCAAACGGCTCCGAGTTGGCCAAGTTCTTGTCAACCTAAACCTGGAAACATGGCTTCTCTCTGACGACCAGTTGGTTGCACTTAAACTATTTTTAGTTTGTTTGACAAGTAATTTGCATTATTAATCGCTCAGAAATTTTGGAATGTGGTCTTACAAAGTCATATGCCAGATGTAACAGAGAAAAATGGACTCCAACAGTAGAATGACCCTCGACCCAGGCACTGTACTAAAAAGGGATTTTCTGGATGGATGTTTCATCTGCATTTCTATCCAGATTGGCCAGTTGCCAGTTGTGTACTATGATGCCATTTTTAGTTTCAGGACTGGTAGCTACAAAAATTCATCTCAGTTGAGACCGGCTCTGCAAAAAGGCCTATGTCACTTTTTTGGGGAATTTGAGTTTTATAATCAAACTACTCACATCCTAAGCTCTCATTTGATATATAATTCATCCCGGGGGCGTTTTGCATATTGAAGTTATTTGCCATTTGCATATTCATATAATTTCATTTTATCAGACGTGCTGTTTGAGAAAATGCCTTTTAAATACAATGAACAGAAACATTTAACTTTAATTTAGACACTCTCAGTTTTCCTTAGCAACAGAGGCTTTCTGGTCAAGCAATTGGCCTCAGAATATTTCCAAATATTTTCACCCTCAGCACATGGAATGGGCCATTATGCATTTTCACATTGCCCGACTTCATACACCTTTCTGCAGAGCGGGTCACTTTCTGCGATTTGGTATTGTTTCGGAGAAATAATTTTTTAGAAATTCTTATTACTGCGGAGCATATAGAAGTACTGTTGTCATCCCCGTTTCTTTTCCAGTGCTGAACTTTTCTGGCAACACATCCTTGGATGTGGCTAATTATTGTGTTGAAATATAATGTGACCAAACCTGACTCTGCAACCACAGTGCAACTTTTAAAATAACCTCGCCGCCTGCTCAGCTTTGAGAAGTTGATTCTTCGGCATCAATGCTGTACATGAAAATCTTGTGTTTGGTGTAATGTGTATTAACACTGATTTTAGGTAAGCAAATAACATTAGACTAGTTAACTAGGACTGGTCAGCGTGTACATGGACCGTTTGTCCCTAGCCGTGGCGACAGAAAAAGAGACAGATTGTAAAAGAGAGCCACTACAGCTCTACGTGTGGGGCTAGTATGTCCCATGAATCACATTCTTGTAAGTTACACACAAGAGAAAAAAAAATTATATTTTCATTATTAAGACAATAATTATTCGTTGTACCACATGCACATGTCCAAAAACTGCGGATGTTTTGTGTGAAGGTTGAAGTCAACTGCTCAATACAGCAAGGACAGGGTTGTGAAGGCTGCTAGAAAACTGAACACTGCTCCTTTTATTGAGTTGTGTGGCTGATGGTTCCCTTACATGTAGGTGCCGGTTACCCGATCTGTGGAGGGCACCGGGGAGTTTAACCCCTCGTTGTGTTTTCATTCAAAAGTTTTCGTTGCGGATGGAAGTAATTTGTATGGTTGAATGAGGCCGTACTTACGTCAACATTTTGGGGACAGTTCATTTGATTGTAACCATGGATATTATGGACATGGTTAATGACAGCGACAGAGTTCTTTGAGGGGGTGCAGTGCTCTGTAAGATGGATTACCCTCTGGGAAAAGATTTTCCTGTAGCTGCCAGAACACTCACTGCATGCAGTTTCTGCTGTTTTTTTTCCAACAGGGCATTGAGTATCTCATAGAGAATGAACTGTTGAAGGAAACACCAGAGGATGTGGCCCAGTTTCTATATAAAGGCGAAGGACTCAATAAAACAGCTATCGGAGACTATCTTGGAGAGAAGTACGTTTTTAGTCACTGTTGTTAAAATTTGGAATTTCAGTGCCAGTAACCCATAATGACAAAGCAAGAACATATAAAATAGCAAGTGCACATTTTTGGTCGAATTAAGGTTACATTAACAGCACATACGAAAATGCTGATTAAGATTACAAGAAGGAGGAAGGTTTAATTATTAAAAGCGGTGAGAAAGTCTTGCAATTTCTGCTTTGAAAAATCCAGGTCCGTGAAAACAAAGTTTTCACTTGTAAAGGTTTCACTTGTCATCTTCCAGGAAAGACTTCAACATCAAGGTCTTAGAGGCCTTTGTGGAGCGGCATGAGTTCAAGGACATGATCCTAGTGCAAGCGCTGAGGTAGGTGGACCCCCGTTGCCGAGATCTAACCCCTAGCCCTGGCAGAATTTCTCGGCAGCAGCTAGAAATTAACGCAGGTCCCTCAGAAAGCCGTTAACTGGCAGCTGTAGCCAATTTCCACAGACTTGTACATGTAATAGCAGTTTGGAGCCTGTAATTTTGACGAATTCCTCCTTAGATCAGGCGGGTCGCCTCATTTCTCTACCCTCTTCAATTTCTCTCAAAGCAACGAAATTAAAGACATAGAAGAAAGTCTGATACGATTCGAAATTCCTCCACTGTTGCATTGTCTGTGAGTGAACAAGATACACTATAGGGATATAACTGCAAAGTCTCCGAGTTTTTTTTTCTCTCTTTTTTTAACTCTTGAATAAGTGTCAGTACATGTACAGTATTTTATTGCCATATCACTGTGGTCTGCATTATTTCCTTTAGTGAACAGATCAGTGTGTCAATTGTCATTAGGAGTTGCTTCGTCATAGACTTGAATCAGGCAAGTTTCGCAGTTTTGTTCAGATGTCCACAATGCAAGGCTACGATGCTAAAATCAGTTGATTAAAAATTAGGCCGTCATTCCTTTGTGGGGAGGGCATGGGCGTGTGACAAAAATTGTAAACAGTTACGGACTTAGGGTGCCCTTTTAACACTCACACCACAGAGCATTGTAAAAACCTCTCACGCAGCGGAAATGAGACACAAATGCAACAGTTGGAGATTACCGTAATTGCTGCCCCTCAAGTTCTTCCCTTTGTTTTTTTTTTTTTTTTTTTTTGGGGCAGTTTAATTTTCATTCTTGTACAGAATTTCCTCATAGTTGAAAGTCAAGGCATAGAGGTCACGTAAATGTTCAGCTTCCTTGTTCACAGGCTGGATTTTTTCCCCCGAGGAAATGTGGCCAATTTCCCTAGATGACAATCAAAATATGTTATGCCTTCCCTTAACAACCACTTTTGGTGGAGCAGAACATACAACTTCATAAGTCATGGGAACGTTTAATTTATAAACGTGTCGGCGTAGTTTTATCTATACTTTTATAGTGAGTAATTTCAGGCGAGTCCAACATCACAAATTCCAGTGATTTTTTTTTAATTTAATCTTGGCTAAAAAAAAAAACCAATTTAATCTAATCAATCTAATTTTCTGCACACGGGCAATGCATCAACTGATCATTCATGCTCCCTTGTTCAAAACTGCGTTGTTTCATCACCGTTTGGTGACTCAGCTACTTGTGCTTGTGGATTAATCATGACTTCGTGCATCCTGCATTCATCGCTCACTTAACCGACTCGTCTTCATTTCATGAGAGCACCCGTGTTTGCCAACCGGGGGCTGGCAGATTGTTGGGGGCTGCTAAAAATCTTAGGACGAAAATTTGCAGAACACGCCCTTTTTTTGGATGCTCGAATCAAGTTTATCATAGAAATACGAAGCTAGAAAGTACATCACGTGTGCTGTCATACAGGGGTTTACCTTCACACACCTTACATGTATGTGGACTTTCCTTTGCTTTCCTGTGGTTAAGACAAACTCAATGAAAATGCATGCGCGCGCATGTACCAGTGCTCATTTTTCTTGCACTGTGAGCACTCTTTAAAGCTGGAGTTTGGGTTGTTTCTTTGACGGTTCCTTTTCAGTTTGCAAAGACCGGTAGATAATCCTTAACCAGAAGTGCCTCGGAACTGGTTTCCGGAAAGAGTGTTTAGCTTAGTCCACAGAAGGTTCTCACAACATGCATTATGAGGACCTCTTTGTTCAAATATGCAAAGGTACTTTAATATTAGAATGATAGTCCTAAAACCAGAAGTGCCTCAGATCTGTTTTCCGGAAAGGGTGTTACCTTGTGTGGACCAGGCTTAGTCCACAGAAGGTTCTCGCAGCCTTCATTATGAGGACCACTTTTGTTCAAATATACAAAGGTACTTCAATACTAGAATGATAATCCTAAACCAGAAGTGCCTCAGAACTTTAATAATCACCAGCCCAAGCAGTATGTATTTCTATTCAGCTTTGTAAAAGAGTTGAAAAAAAACAAATCTGAGCTGCCTGGTCTCAAAACATCTTGAGTACTAAATCTGAATATTTCCCACTTACGGTTTTACACTTTATGCCGGTACGTGCACTTTTTCATGAGCTGATTGTGTCCCGGTTCTACACGTGCATGTTCACATTTGGGACAAACAACGGCAACAAATCGTATCGCCTACCGCACACAAGAAAGAGCGGCAGACACGCCGAAATCACCATGCTCAAGGAAGTGCATGCTAATTACTCCTATCGGAGTTGCGCCACAAAAAGATTGAACACAGCTGCACTGCACAGCCGCAAATTGACAAGAGCTTTGTGAATAAGTGTGAAAGCGTAAAAGTTTTTTCACACTTACACATACTTGGGAAGGTGGAAAATCTTTCTATGGGACCTGTGAATGCAGCCACATTTTGCTCTCATCCATTTTTCTTCCTATTTATGGCCACACTCAGACATGTACATGTAAGTTGAAGTGTGTTTTAGGTCTCTGTTATTTGTCCAATAGTGATTCTGTAATTACTGAGGAACAATTGTGACACACATGTCTTGTGGTTTGCATCTCTTGGATTTGATTTGATTTGATTTATTCACTGTTTCCACAAAACATTATTACAGAACAAAAGAAGAAAAGCAAGCTCAAAGATTCCCAAAAGTGGAAAAAGTAGGGATAACACAAAGAATGTAATTAACTCATTTCCATTGCAGTCCCAACTGATGAAAAATTAATCGAAATAAGTTTAGTAAAATACTGCTAGATAAAAAACCATCCAAAAATTAAAAAGGCCATCAAAACAATCTTTGCAGTGGGCTTTGTGCAAAAACTATACATGTGCGTGCGCTGGTTCATATGCGGCGTATTCAAAACGATCCCAAATACACCAAACTAAACCAGCATTTCAGTGCCATTCCCTGAGGTTCTTATTGCAGCCACTGTTGGCATTGTGGGGCTGGGTCAATTTGAATAATTCATTATCCGAATATTCGACCTTCAATTCCATCGAATATCCAAACATTCGGTCATAGCGACCGGCAGATTGTTGATGAACAAACCATATACAAAATCAAGTGCAATAACAGAACAATTGTACATTATGATCAATATAATACCTTCTCCCATGTTGGAGTATTTCCAGCCATGATTTAGCAAGATTTAAGAGATGATAAATACTTCTCGCCCAATTGAAAATTTCTGTTCCTTTTAAATTATTTGAGGAATAATTTAGTTTTTGAATCGTTGATAGATTTCTGTCGCTTCTCATTTAAATCTGCTTGAAGCAAGCCTCCACGGTGCATTTTTTCTCATTTAAAGCAAAAGAAAAACTTCCCTTCCTCTTCATGAATTTTGCATTCGGATATTCAAATTTGGAAAAAAAAATTCGGATATTCAATGATCGATCCAATACTCAGATATTCGGCACAGCCCCATGGCATTGCAGGCTGTTTTGTCTCTCGGGCAATTCCATTCAAGACTCTTGTCCGGTCTACATGTATTTAAGCTGTGGTACCCCTACGTGCAGTGGCTCTGTCGATCAGAATGCAACGGATGCAGTCTAAGGTAATTGGCCATTCAGGAAGAGCTGCATTGCTGGTTGTGACTAAATGCATCTATCATAATTTTGCTCCAAGGAACCGAGATGATGGGTTGCCGTGATGAAGTGTGACTTTAATTTCTTTTTTTAAAGATGTTCGCCGCTGATACTGGGGCTCAGGCGCAAGGTACAAACCCAACCCGAGTCCAGCGATATGTCGGTCCGTGATTGAACATGCCCAAAGATTGCAGACATGTTTGTTTTGATAGTGTTGCGGCACAGAGGTACCTGTGCACTGGCGTGTCATACTTAACGTGGACCTCTGCACAAAAGAATGCAGGGTACGATGGCGTTGTGTGGACTTGCACATGTCCACACAAGGTTTCCCCCTGGCGTTGTGTGGACTTACACATGTCCACACAAGGTTTCCCCCTGGTGTTGTGTGGACTTGCACATGTCCACACAAGGTTTCCCCCTCTCTGGAAAAGGGGTTTAGAGGCATTTTGGGGTAGGGGTTTGGTTGGGGTAAAAGGAAGAGGAATAGTCAAGGAAACCTTGTACAAAAAAAACAGCCAAAAATCTTGTTCGTGGTTGATTAAAAATAAGTATTTTCACCGAGTTTTCTTAACTGCACGAAAACAAAGGAATGTCCACTGTAGATTTGTAACGTAAACATGTGTGTACATGTACATATATGATAAAGTTGTTAGCAGTGGCATGCATAGGCTTCCACACTGGAGCGTGCTGAATGGACTCTTTGGCTCGGACTCAGGGCAGCATTGTTGCTGAATTGATCGTGTCATTTTCACCTTGAAACCCCAACTTTTATTAGGGGTCCTCCGAACAGCCTGCCGAATGCACCAAACTCAGCTTGAAATGAGGACCCTCCTTCCTTGATGGAACTGAATTACATGTTCATGCAAGTGTGGCTTTTCCATATGTCCCAAATTGGCAGCTTTGTGGTGCCGACTGCTGCCTTACTGGTGTAATGGCATTTACTCGTGGCCAGTCGATTCCTAAATTGTCAGGAAAGAACTGTTGAACAAATCCGACATAAAGTTGTACACATGCACAACTTTTGACCAGCGTTACGTTGAACAGGGTTAGCATGGAGGAAATTTATGACAATCGAGGTTCACGAGCATGGGTTGCGGTACCGCAGAGTTCCTCCAATCAATTTTTTGTTTCCAGAATTACTCAACTCCTGGGAAAGGACCAATCAAACAAAGGATCCCTGGGGGCGGAAGAGTAGGAAGCGGAGGAAGGCATACGGGGAAGGCAGAAATTTGGCTGGGCTCTTCCCCAGTCTGTAGCCGCTTTTCCTGGTTTCTACTTCGACTGTTGACAATACCCCGACACACACACTGCCATCCAAGAGTGATTCATCCACGCCATCTGTATCAAATTTTACCCCGAAATTGGGTGATTGGGCCGCGACTGCTGTTA